ATACCATGCGTCACAATACGAAATACGGTGCTGTAGGAACTGTTCGTGAGAGTTGCTGCCTTCTTAATTAAATTAGTCACTGCATTTTCTTTTTCATCTTTTTGCAAATTTTGGAAAACTTGTAGAACAATTTGTTTTTCACCCGTAGTCAAAAATTTATGATTATTTTTGTTCGATGAAGACGGTTCATCTTGAACATCGTTGTGGTCCTCAATTTCTTGATTATTTTCATTTTCTTCCGGCACTGCTTGCAGTTGAAGCTCATCAATTTGGATAAAATTTGAGTTTTCCCAAGGTCTCCACATTCTGAGACACCACTTAACATATTCAAAATTATTATTAATAAGTAAAAAAAATCATGTACATATCTTTACCTATGCCAATTAGAGAACACAAAATAAATTAATTTATAATCACAACGAACAAAACTAAATATCGAGACAAACGCGCTGGAGAGCAAAGCCAAAAGTGTCTGAGAAAATGTCAATTTTTTCTTTAAATACCTACGTATGGATTCGTCATCAGTTTACCTCCCTTTACCACCGATAAGAGGACAAAAATAACTCAGTACCAACCTTGTTAATGTTCAAAATAAGGGTTTATTATTATCGTATAATCAAACAAATAAATGTATCATCGGAGTCCACTCTGAAAAACAACAATATAGTCAACAACATAATTATGCATCATTCTTTATTGTTCTTATTGTAGGTACATTTTCTTAAAATACAACATATTGTTTCTTTTTATAATTTTGTAAAATCTTTTATTTAACATAACATTCAAAACTATTGCAAATTGAAAAATTATTGAAGTCCGGACCATTCTGATCTGGTGTCCCAGATGGTGTTTACTGTTGGATTATTTACAACAACCCAAATGTCTCTATTGTTAAGAGTAATTCGGGTACCCGACTTAAGATTTACGACAGTTCAAATATCGTGACGAGAAGTATATTTTAGTAATACATACATACATACATACAGAGTGGTTATAAATGATTTTCATCTAGCCAGCTTTGGAATTTTTTTGCATGTAACTTTATTTGTGCCGCTCTACTTTTTTGAAAGCTCTAGTTCTGTCATTAGTGTCACTTATTAATTAATAATAAATTATTGTTAATTAAATTTTTATTGTTTCAACTAATTTCCAATATTAATTGATAATAATGTATACTTTGGAAGAAAACAAGTTTATAATTGAAGTCTATTTTCGAAGTGGACGCTTAGTAAACAGCGATTTTTTAATTTTGAGTTACAACAAGTAGGTACCCCTATTTTCGTAAAGCGGCATTTTTTATTTTACATGGAAAATTCACAGCTGGCTAGATGAAAATCATTTATAACCACTCTGTACATACATACATATTATGTATTCTATTTTTGTGTGTATACAATTTTTCTAAGATTATAGTTTAATTCCAATATGCATATGTTTCCAAAGGACCGCACCATGACGGGGGTGGTTTTGTGCAAACAAAAATGTTGTACCAACTTTCTTTAAGTAAATATAACTCTTCAAAAACGAAAGTTTAATATAATTTTTTTATTAATAAGGGAAAGTAATTTTGCGTTTTATTGGTAAGAGACGTTAAAACGTGCATCTGGAATATTAAAAAATAAATAATATCATACAAAGTAACATTAGACATTTTCTGAAGGGATAAAGTTGGCAACAGCACATCAAAAATTTGTTGGTTTCTATAGTTAAAATCTGTTATTGAGTGCAGGCACACGATGGTTCAAAATGTACTGCATTGTTGCCAATTTGTTCCATTTTTAAATATTTTTATTTTCAAATCCACGCGGCCTAGAAAGACTCTTTTGAATCATGTTGTCTTTGGCAGTTCTATTACCTGAACAAATTTTATAAATTTTGCATTTAATTTAAGTTCTATTTATTGCTACCATAATTGTAATTTTTGTAGTTAAGTTATCAACAAAATTGGAAACTTTTTTTTTTGGGGTGACAAGTAGTATTTATTTTACACTGATTTAATAAGAGACACTCGGAACAATCCTGTTGCGATAGTCTCTTTGTTATTCAATGTTGACAACTTAATTTCAGAATTACAGGCTATTTTGACCAGCAATTACGAATTATTGAGCGAATCATCTACTATGTACATAAATTTTATGATAAAGAATGAAAGCACAAAAAACCTTTTTTCTGTGAATTACAAAATTAACAAGGCGTCAAATTTGGTTAAACATTCCAATGGTCTATATTGCAAAGCGAGAAGATGCATTTCTTAGTTCTATTTGCTATGGAATAAGTAAGATAAATAACGGTTTGTGTTCACCAACATTGAGCTCATTATGTTTTTAGCATAGATCAGTGAAAGTTGCGAGTTTTTAATTTTTTAGGTGATTTGCGAATAATTTGTAGCTAAATGGTACTCATTTTCTGTCACATAGCGAATTCAAGGAAAGGTCTACAAAAGAATAAGATAACAAGAATTTCTAGAGAAGATTTTTTTAAATTAATTACTGTAGTTTAGAAATGTTCTGATAAAATAAAACATTTATTGTGTGTTTATATCACTTTTACAAACTTTCACTAATAATCGTAATTTTATACTTTTTTGATTATAAAATGAGAACGTTACTATTATGTCGATTAAGACAAGAAGAGTTTTACATTACACAACTTGTGTTGTCTTCAAAAATTTTTACTAATTTCAGAAGTTGTAAAGAAATTTGTCAAAATTGACAAATGCCAAGATAAGTGTATTTTATGTACTTGTGTAAAATACGTTGTGATTGATGACGTATTTTATAAAAGAGTATATTAGTATATTAACGGAAGCATAAGAGGTATAGTAGATCTATAAATATTTGGAATTGGTGGGTTTCAAAATATTTATAATAAGGGTATTTACGTCTTTCTGTGAGAAATTTAGTTTGTTAAACAAAATTGTTGTCGTTTTTTCCAAAAACGCTCTTTCTTCATTTGTATCAGCATGTAAAATGTATAATATATCGTTGTAATCAGGAACAAAAGACTTTTCAAAAATACAGAATATGGCGTCTAGAAGAAAATCCAAAGTTGAGTGTTGTAACTCTGACATCAAACACGTCTTGGAAAATACGAAGACAGATTTAGATTCCTTGTAAAAAAGTGCCTTAAGAACGTCTTAGTTAAAAACGTCTAGGTCTTTTAGTTTTCGCTTGAACGAAATAAAAACGAAAATTGCAAATTTTTGTTTGTTTCCAATAATTTAAAAAGTAAAAATGTCTCATTAAATTTTCTTTGAGATAAATTTCCCCTAATTTAACCGATTTTGTATCTCTTATAATAACTGAGATCCCCATGGTTGGAGCCCGAAAAACAGACACTCGTATATGTACAAAAGTCTAAATTTGTATTATTTTTAATGCCTTTTCTTGCATGTTATCTCATTGAAACAATAAATTGCAGTAATAATAAAAATAAATGTTTTGTTGACATACTTCTCTTTCATGTTGTGTCAAACATAAAGTGTATTTATTTTAGTTATTATTAAGGATTTTAAGTTAGCATCATTTATTTGATACGTGTTAGTAAAACAAATAGTTTGACAAATAGTATTTTGTTATTTACTTATCTGATAATTGTAGATTTTTTTAAAACCTGATCACACCTTATTTTCATTTACTCAATAATCTGAGTACGTAGAAAGTTACTAAGCACTAATTTAGTAGCAAATAAAGTACATATTTAGTTCACGAAAATGTCGTAACTTTATTTCTAGGTAGGTATTTCCTATGTAAAGATGACTTTATTTATTATTCACCTTGTTGAGATAAGAACAATTCTACTCTAAGTAGTATTAGTGATACTACGCAGATATATTTAAAAAGTTTTTGTTGTTCTTTTCATAATAATTATAGGTATTGCATTTTATAACGTTACAAACCATTACATGAAATAATGGTTCTCTTTGAACGGTTTAGTGAAAGATCAATCTAATCTCACTTGTATGTTCTGTGTGGGATTATCTCTTGAACTGAACGATTTATTGTAATTACAATTTGTCTCACATAAATCCGGTTTCCGTATATGTCGGAGGCGTTGAAATCAAAATAAACCATAATGATTTCGATTATAAAATCATTAACATTATTGTGCAACTGCATTTTTTACACAGCCTAATTACATCCTGTTTCCGGAAATGGGTGAAATTTGAGACTGATCTGATTTAATAATTCTGATTTTATTTTAAATGCTTGATTAAAATACAAGATGTTGAAAGGAACGGGAGTAATTTTTGTCGAGTCACGTGTCTTAGATCCCGTAATCATTGCTCTTTGGATTAGAGACTCGCAATTACACGATCAGACTGTTCTAGTCGAGTTGATCTCATCGATGTTTTATATCTAGGATCGTGAAGTTGAAGGTATTATTAAATATTAATTTGTTTTCGGTCAGCGGGAGTTCCGCAGGGTGCTATGTCGAATCCGGTTTATTATGGTGATTATTGTAGTTGAATTGTTCTAAAAATGTTAAGATGATTCGTTTGATTGGTATAGAGTAGAATGAATACGATGGAAACGACATTAAATGTCATCCATAGATGCAGGAAGTTGTAGGTTGTTATGGACGATAATTTAGAAACTTAACGTTTGTGGGTTTAGTTTTTTTATTTTAAATGTGTGGACTTTGTCTTTATTGGGATATTTGATACTAAGAGATGAGAAACAATATACATACATACAAAATAAAGATTTAGATTAAAAATTAAAATTATGATGTATTCGTATTTTCACAATTTTAAATGTCTTTAGTAGTAACACTAAAATTTCGCACTGTATGAACACTTTTGTGACTGACTGTACATTCATATTTTGACAATTTTTTTTATAATAATTTCTGCATTTAGCAAAATTTTTGAACCAATCTTAGGTTAAGATAAAAATTTTGAAGACAACACAAGTTTAATAGTTTCAAATTCTTGATGTTTTAATGGTGAATTTGAACTACCTTTTATGTTGCAACGATGGTTCGTTCACAAACAAACTTTCATGGATAGCTTTGACACCAAACTTAAAAAAAGCATTCGTTATTGTTTCGACGTATTTTATAGAAGAACGTATATTAACGCTAACATAATAGGTAAGCTTAAATGCATCATAAAAACACTATACGATATGTATTAGTGTTGAAAAAAGTATACCTGTAAAATTTTAATTTTTGTACAGTAAGGCACTTTATTGAAGGTTGACTCACAATGGAGCACCAAGACCTAATTACTGTGACTAGTTACAATCTTCTTTTCAATGTCTTCCATTATTTGTCAGATATGCGTTTAAGCAATCATTCTTTGGTAATGTTTATGTTTAATTTTCTTGAAAAAAAGGGCTAAGGTCTTAAATAAATACTTTACATTTATATTTCTTGGTTACACAGGTTACATATTTTTTATGAGGTGGCTGTATTCTCATTGACTTTAACACTTAATTAACTATACAATAAATGTGCATAAAATTACGAAATATTTTTAATTATTAGAAAGTAGGAATTGAGATTTGTTTAACTTAGTAATTGCAATTAAAATATAAATTAAATTTTATTAAATTGTATGTTAATGTTGTTTGAATGTGATTAGAAGCAGTAAATAATTACGAGTAGATTTATTGAGTAGAATTTTGCAAAATAAAATACCAACTTCAAAATTTTTCAGTTTTTATTTAATAGTTTTATTATTTATTGTATAAGTGCTTTAGAAAGCATTTTATCTACGCAAGATTTTTGTATCACCAGGGTGTCAGTGTCAGTGTTTAATATTCTTAAAACTAAAACACGAATGCACTACAACGTTTTATCTACAATCAATCTCAAATTTATCCAAATTTAATTAAAAAATATTTTGACAATTTAATGTACCATGTGAAAACTCAACGAAACTTTAAGTTGATGGTGGCTAAAATGTGTTTTGCATTCGTGTTTTAGTCACTTACTTAACTTAAATATAAAACTGTGAGCGTTAATACTAATGTTAATAAATTTATTGGAGACATTTTTTCAGTTTTATTCAAAAATATTTTATAAAGTATAACATAACACACAGGTCAGTTATAGGTCATAAGACACTAGTGAGTTATAGACCTCATAATATGATTGAAATTAGTTTTATTATCGCGTTATAATGGGTTGATTGTGGATAAATAAATAGGTATTAGAATTATAAACTTTATGTTTTCGGAATAAATAAAAATTAGATCATGCCAATGAATTAATGAATTAAATTATGCAATATAAAATGAAGGGAAACTATGTATACTGTATTGTATATTAGAAATTAAATAATGCATTAAATTGGCTTTGTTGTTATGTAAAAATCATACGATTGTGATGATCAACTGATTAATTATTGTTTAAATATTGTTGAATTACATCGGGTTATTAAAAAATGTGTGGCATAATTTTAACTACAAATGAGAATAGATAGCACAGTATTTATTGACCCACCTCAAAAAATCGATATAAAAAAATGATTTTCTGGGAATATTTTTGTTATCGTTTATCTGATTATTATGAAACTTTGCCAGTTAATAAGGCACCAAAAGACATTCTTTGATATGATGTAAACGGAAGTCTTGTAAAAGCTATAAATTTTCGGTGGCAAGCAGTGTTTTATTTTGTCAGTAGACCAGGAAAAAGATAATTGTTTCAATAATTTTTGCAATTGTTAGTGATATCTTACTATAAAATTTTCCCGTTTTTGATGACTCATGAAAATTGTTGCCGTCGATAATTCTGATAACAGATTAGGTTTAATATGTTGTTGCTTTGTGCCATAGAAATTAATATTTTTAATAAATAATCGTATTGTTCCACCTATTTAATATTTTGATTTTGTTAAATTTTCGTTTTGCCCAATTTTAGCCTCCGTTTTCGTCATTGACTTATCAATATCATTGTCCATATTAAATTCATCCCACACTTGATCTCGAAAGGTCAAATTTATATAAATCGAAGGTCACGTGTCCTCATTCTAAATCGGCCATAACTGCATTAAGTTATCTTAATTTTCAGACGTTGCAACACGGATTTCCTCACAAACCCACCGCACTAGCATGGGACCCATCGTTGCGTCTTCTTTGCATTGGAACGGCCACCGGCGCCGTCAAGGTCTTTGGACGTCCAGGTGTCGAATTCTATGGTCACCATCAGAACCCCATTGCGGTAACCCAAGCCGTCTTCCTGCCGAATCAAGGACGAGTGGTCACTCTGTGTGACGATAACTCTCTCCATCTATGGGAGGTGAACAAAAGTAGTTTGGTTGAAGTCAAATCGCAAGCTCTTGAAGGCAAATTGAAAAAGATTTCGACGATTTGTGTCGAAACAGCCGGTAAACATCTGCTTTTGGGCACCGAGGGTGGAAATATTTACCTTTTGGATTTGGCGAGTTTTACGATGACACCGGATATCATATATCAGGATGTGGTGATGCAAAAGTAAGTATTTGACGAAAATAGGGTGAGTTTGTTGATTGTCAGTGGTATCGGGTGGTTCAAAAACAGCAACAAAGTAAACACATAGTTTAAAAATGTATTTCATTACTTTGGTATTTTCTTGGACCATCCGGTATAATCGCCAGTTTTGCCAAATTTGCGCTTGATTGTTCGCTTCTTCTAGTAGCGGGAATATTTTCGGTCGCCAGCATTTGTTGAACATTTGTCGCACGTTTAAAGTAAAAGTGGCGACATCAAAGTAAGTGTGTCTTTTTTGCTTGTGAAAATGTGATTGGTTTGAATTTTTATTTGGTGGAAATTGTTGCAGTGTGCCTCAGGATTACAAATTGAATCCTGGTGCCGTTGAGGCTATTTTCGAACAACCGGAACATCCAGATCATATTCTGATAGGTTATAATAGAGGACTGATTGTTTTGTGGAATCGTAGCGATAACACGTCCATCAAAACTTTTGTTTCGAATCAACAGTTGGAGGCGCTTTGTTGGCACGAAGATGGAAAGTCATTCACAAGTTCACATAATGATGGTAAGTTTTGGAGGATTTCTTCTGCTATGAAGTTGGTTCGGAGAGATATTAGAACTAGTAAAATATTCAAAGTCATAATTTTGTATGTTGAAATAGTAGATTACATACTGAGGTGGGAGGTGCTTCATCACTAAGGCGCTTGCGTTTTCGTTAGGTATAAGCTGAGGTACGATGAATCAATTACCTTCCTTAAAGAACAGAAATCCAATAAAGAATTTATCAAATTTTATTTGATAGATTTATCAAAATCAAATGAAGTTGAAATGTCAACTTGTGAAAACACTTATTACAAAAATGAAGTGATAAAAATATACATATATGTTAAAATAAGCAAGAAACTAGTTTTTTAATTTTTAATTAAGAAATGTTTACGAGTATATTTGAATTTTATATTTGAATATATTTTTTTTTCGTTATAAAAAGGTGAAATAAACATACTTCTCTTTTGAAAGGTTGTAAAATGAACACACTGTAGACTGTAGGTATGTACATACAACATGAACAAAGGAATCAAGCGTTTTTTTAAATCTTTTGCTTTCAGAAAATTATATTTATTATTTAATAAAAATTAAAATGCTGTAAAAGTTACTTATGTATCAAGGGAATAAACTATTTTATTTAATGCCGAGAATGTAGGTAATGTCAGAGGCGACTTCCTGCCAGACTAGATTAATAATAACATAAGAAAATGATAAATTTGTCAAAATATGTTCATTCATCGATATGCTCATTTGTAAAAATGATCATTTAATTGTAATTTTGTCTATGTCAAAAAACATTCAAAAGATTATTTTATTCAATTCTAGTTTATTTTAAGTCAAAATAGGTGTTTTATTTATTATATTTTCTAGATAATAAAATACCAGATTATTAGTCAAAAACGAGGAAATAAAGCGTCATTTTATTCTCTGTTGGTAGGAAAAAATGTGATCGTATTTTGAGAATGAAATTTTTTTTTGAGCTATGTGAGTTTTTTTCACATGATAATTGTAATTCTTTTGTAAAAAAAGGTTTTATCGTGGGTTGTCACTTGTAAATATTCAAAAATTTTGCAGAAAAGATTTTATTCTTGAGAAATTTTTCGTTTTTACAGTATTTTATTATTCATCAATTAGCTTTTTCAAAAAATAAATAGTTCAAGCAAAAAACATTTGGTTTCATACTTTCTATTTACCTGGTAAAAATTATTTGTTTGCTTGTCTATACGACTGTTTTTTTATAAAAAATACTCTGAATAACAAAAGTGTAACACCTTGAAAGGGTATAGCCGAGTTGATAAATGAGAGGTAGAAAATTAGTTTCACAAATATATCAGAGAAAATAAGTATAATTTGTTTAGAAAATATCTTTTAATGATATGCAAAGGTTGTTGTTTAACCGTATGTTTTTTATGTTGTAATTCTATCATCTCTCAGCAATCAGCAGATGTATACACATAATCGTACATCTAAAAATTTTTCAATTTTAAACACGAAGAAGTGATTGGTTTAACGGTTTTTAATTTTTTGTTTAAGAAAGGCACTTATAAAGGATAATATAAATTGTCTACAATTTGTACCAATGTATCATTTGTGAATTACGGCAAAACCTACAGCTAGTACATTTTTTTAATTGCGTAATCAGCCAGTAAGTAAACATACATAAACTTTTTTAGTTTATATAATTTTATAGTTATATAATTAGTTTTTATTACTTCTATTATTTATAAGTAAACCACCCAAATAAACAGAAAATGAGTTATTAAACATTTAATACAAATACGCTAATTATAAATAAATGAATCATAATAGTATTTGTTGTTGTAATGTACAGTTGTATTAGTGTTAACACTATTGGGAAAGACAAATAATATTACGAGTACACATAAATAATTTAAAAACAATGTTTTACAATGTTAAAAAAGGTTATTTTTTGTATACACTTCCGAAAACGGTTTTTTAGGGACTCATTTGAGTTCCTAAAATGAGTCTTTCCCAGACTCAATAAAATAGTACGCGAAATAATACTTTTAGGTACTCAGTCCCCAAAAACAGTTTTTCCAGACTAAAAAATAAATTTGGTTACTATGGTGGCGAATTTTTTTAAATTAATAAAAGGTGTGAATTCGTGTTTTGGGAGCTTTAACAAAAAATGTTGTTTGTAACACGTACCTAAAACGTTTTTGCGGACTTATTTGCTATTTCAGACTCGGTTTCACCTCGTTCGGAAACATCAACGATTCGTCCCCAAACACTGTGTTTTAGGTAGTTGTAACAAAAATAACTATTTATTTATAAAAAATTATTTTAATAATTAATATTATTACACTTGAAATAACGCCGTTTTAGTGTGATTTCAAAACTTTTATTTGTTATTTATTATTAATTTCTCTTTCTATTTGAGAAGGCTATTTTTTGTTCATGAAATATTTATATAACTTTATTTTTAATTATGTAAAGTCTGTTTTTTTTTAAATGGAAATTACCAAGTCAAAATTTTGGTGAAAAAATTGGTAGCAGCTTATCTCCACAGCCACAAATTTTGTTTGCTCTTTGTTTTTGTTCCTAGAAATTTTGTTAAAAAATTATGGTTATGTGTTCCAATTGAGATGTTGTCACAATTTTGACTTTTATGAATCTTGTGTGCCTGTTTGCTCTTGGAAAGCGCTATAATTGAATATCTGAGGACAGGCATCATTATCTAAGGTCTAAAGACAGAATTCAGTGCTAATAATTTTGACAGAAACACACCGCAAGTAAGTACAATGTTGTGGACAAAAATGAGATTCTTGCTACAAAAACTTTGAAGAAAAAGGATGTATACAGAAAAAAGTTATTTAGCAAAAGATACAAGTAGGTATTATGATGATTGGCAATAAATTTTGTGTACTTGATTGAAATGAGCTCAAAGTTGATGCATTTTATAAATTCTTCAGCTTTAGTTTCAAAATTATTACTTTTTCAACTCGTTCCTCAAAAACGATGCACACAAGACACTAATTTAATTGCGTTCTTTTCGAGGTTCTTTCTCATTCATGTTTATTTTGTATTCTTGTCAATTTTTTGCTAAAAATTGAGAATGTTGAGCAAACCTGCATTACAAATTGCGTCTACATTTTAACGGGCCCTTTTTCTAACTTTCTGCTTGCGAACTATTCGTTTCCAAATTTCGAAAAACTGTTACTGTACCGAATTTGTTTCTTTTTTGGTGTTTCGTCTCCAAATTTTCTTAAACGATTTTTTGTCTTGACGTTTAACGACCTAGTTTTCAAATTAATTCAAAAAACCGGAACTGCCAACTTCCTTTATTAAAATTACCATGAATGAATTTACTAGTGATGCCAACGTTAAGACTGTTTGGCATTTTCATTTAAAAAAAACAGACTTTCCTCTTTATTATTTTTTAACTAATATTAAAGAAAAAACAATTTGTTGTGCAATAATTGATAATTGGAATTTGTTAAAATAAGGTGTAATGTTTTATCAATTATCATTTATTAGACACCTTAACTTTGTCTGATAAATATAAAATAAATAAAATGGTTTAAATACTTTTCCTTGATTATTCCAGAGATGAACTGGGCATTTATTGAATATGAATTTTTATGATTTTCCACAGGCAGCTACATGGTTTGGGATCTCGACCAAAATAAACCAATCCAAGACCCCGTCACCACTTACGGTCCTTTTGCATGCCGAGCCATTCCAAAAATTATAAGAAGAGAACTGAGAGGCAAGCCTTTGGTTGTTTTTTCTGGTGGTTTACCTAGATCTACCGGTAGTGACAAATACACCGTTTCAGTTATTCACGACGAACAACATGTCGCTTTCGATTTTACAAGTAAGGTGAGTGAAACAATTATAATTACGTAATGAAACATACACGAATCGGTTTGGAATTTTTACAAGCAAAATTGGTCTGTTTTCACGCTAGATCGCACGTCAAAATTCTGATTCAGAGGAAGAGTCGTTTGGGAATGAGGTATTTGAGATAAATAACTAATCCATGTGTGGATTTTTTTGAGTGGTAGTTTTATGCATGCGTTTTGCGAATGAAAGAGATTCTTGCATGTAAGAAAATTCCGAAGGTGTTAGCGCAGCGTTATTTTTGTGCACTATTAGAACAAGTTCACTAAACTTTTTACTAAATTTTCGACGAATTTTTTTTGATTGAGTCATTTTTTGTCAATATTTGCCTGAATTAGTAATACATGTTACTAGAGAGATAAGTATTGTGTTGTTAATATAGACGTGTGTAAAAAACGAGAAGTAATTACAAATTAGGGCATGGTTTTAGATAAAATAGTTTCATGTTTGTTACAAGATTTCAAAAATGTGTAATTGCTTGTTTTTGTAATATACCTAAATGTTATTTTTAAGGTTAATAAGGTCGAACAATTTTATCTGAAATTAAGTCGTGGATAAAGTATGAAAGTGGAGATAATTAAAGGGTTTTGCTGTTTCAAATTCTTTTCCTATTACAGATGCATTGATCCCTTTTTCAAATATGGTGAAAATATATTTTGTATAAAGCGTGCACCAGAACTCGCGCCCCAGAGAAAAGTGTTATGTAAGATGGTACGATACCAGGAACATAGAAAAAATGTTAAAAAATTCTATTCATAAAAATTTCGAAATTATGGGATTTTAAGTTTTGCACTTTGACTATTTATTTCTGTTGTAAAAATAATTTTTCAATTTTTTTGCTACAAGCTATTAGAAGAAGAAACAAGGAAGCTGTATCCTAAATTGTATCTCGGTTTAAGGTTATTTGTGGCTTTTATTGGCAAATTTTTTATACTTTTACTAAATAAGTTATAAAAAAAACATATACAAGATCATGAGTGTCATTAAATAGACATAGAAAATGTCAAATGTCAAAATTTGTTGACAGATGGAATTTTTTAAACATGTTTTTCATGTTGTTATCTTATTTTACTTGAAACTTTTCTCTGGGGAGCGAATTCTGACGCACTCTGTATAGGTGTGATTATACTATTACAAATTTAAACAGCTGATAGTATATTAATTTTAAGACAAAGGTGTATAAACCCGTATCGAAAAATAGTACACTCCCTGAAAAGAGTGAGTTTTTTAAAGGGTTTTGCATACTATTTTAGAAACCATTTAAAAAAATTAAAATTGAATATTCTATAACCTCTTTAAATTTGTAACAATAAAAACGGATTCCTGTGACAATTTTAAAACCTGCAATCTGCAATATCTCTCAACTGAAATAGTTTATTATAATACTAGTTTTAAAGGCGCTTATAAACGAGTGTTATACGCTATTTTTTATTATACCTGCTCATTTACGATTTACGAAAAAATGTGAATTTACACAATAAAATTATCAAAGGTTGTTTGTGAATCGTTTTCGTAGAGTCGGTTACTAGTTTACGTTGTTAAGCACATTTTTTCACGTTGTAATTGGTCCATACATTTCACTATTTCTTGTTACCTAGACAACTTAAAATTCAGCGTGCTATAAAGGCCAAATTACGCACACTGCAGCGTGTTTTAATTTAGGATTATGATGCAGGTATAATAAAACATACTCTTATCTTGGCATTTTCTTTATTTTGACAAATTTTTATATACCTAACAATTTCTGAATTTAGTAAAATTTCTGATTCAATATTAGTTTTGGAAGAAATTTTGAATCAACACAAGTTTTATTGTTTAAAACTTATGTTGTCTTAATAACAGCAAAGAGATTAGAAGTTTATAGCGTTTTTCTCACTTTTTACAGTTAATTGCACTCAATTGCTGCTAAGCCATTTATTAACCTCATTCGATGTTTTAATCACAGTTCTTGATTCTTTTATTTCTACTATTTATTTTCTAACAAGAAGTTTATTAAAATGCAAATTTATAGCATGTGTTTAATTCATCGCTACAGGAAGTTAACCTATTACAACAGCAAACTACTGTTTTAATTATTTTTTTAAGATACACTTTATACATCGAAATTCTAGTGATTTTTTACGTGTATGATTCATTAGTTTCAGGAAATGCTTTTACAGTAAATTGTTTTACAGTTAAATTCTAAGATTATTTGTTTTATTAAGAGTAGCTTTATTTAGAAAAACGTCTAATTTTCAGATCTAGGTACCGTTCGATCATTTTATTTTTATTATACTTTTAAATAATTTACACATTCCGTTTCACGTTGGACACCATCTAAATTAACACTTTTCTTTATTTTTTCAACGGTATGTACCTATTTGTGTTTTGTATTTTTTAAACTTGACTTGTTTATTATGCACATGTTATTGTCACTTTTATCATAATTTATTAGGTCTAGAAAACAAATTTGGTTGCATAAGTGTGGGTTCTTGCGGTTAAAAAAATATTTTATAATTCTCTTCTGACGTACAATTTTGGAAATTCTAGATTATACTTTTGTTCTGAAAAAATATCGTTGTTCTCTTATTCCAGAAGAACAAAACTATTAATTTAATTGTACCGTGCCACCAAATAAAAAATAAATTAGAGTAGGCGTCGATTAAATTCTACAGTTGGCAACACATTGGCTGGGAATCTGGGCTCGAAATTTTCCACACAAACTGAAAGTGAAAATGACCATTGACCGTTTTCCTCTTCTACAGCAATAAAAATTTTCTGCTCTAAAGTGAACATTATTTCACTCAAAAGGAATAAAACGCAAACTTGTCAAAGTTTCCGCTGACATTTGATGTCAAAAATCAGGATTGCCATCTGAAGGACTTTAATCACCGCCTACTCTTATTTATTTTTTTGATCGCACGGTAGTTGCTACAGTTATTTTCCAAATTGAAAAAAATGCTCATTTTCGAAGGCTCTAGTTTTGTAAATAACTGTAGATGGAAAATTAACATTTTACTTAATTTTTTTTATACAAATTTTGCTCTTTACTAAAGCTTAATTTAATAGTGCAATTTTCAAAACGTGAACACTTGAGGTTTTAATGAATAAATTTTACGTGTTTACTAAAATATAAGTTTTTTTGAAGGTGATAGACTTTATCGTCATTGATTCGAAAATAGAAGAGCAAGAAGGTGAAGAAAATGTAGTCACAAATGGTACAAGCAGTGGAGAACCTGATGCTCTTGTCGTATTGGCAGAGGAAGAGTTAGTTCTAATCGACCTTTCAACCAAGGATTGGAAAATGATAAATTTACCTTATTTAGTATCACTTCATGCATCTGCCGTAACTTGTAGTCAGCACGTTTCTGGTAAATAAATTGAATTTTGAATTTGAATAAATTTTTATTGTATTCTTGTCAGGAGTTCCCGAAGAACTTTGGGAACAGCTAAAAGAAGCCGGCAAAGCCCAAACCAACAACATCTACTCGTCTCGAGCTTGGCCTATCGACGGCGGCAATCTTTTGTGTGCGAAAGGTGCCGAACCCAAACGAGAACTTCTTTTGACAGGTCATGAAGACGGCACTGTTCGATTTTGGGATGCCGGTGGTGTGACACTAACTCCTATATACAAATTTAGTACGGCGATGTTTTTCACCGGTGACGATTTGGAAGAGGCCGTTCCTGATCCAGAAGATGTAGATGATGATTGGCCACCTTTCCGTAAAATCGGTGTTTTTGATCCGTACTCGGATGATCCTCGATTGGCCGTTAAAAAAGTCGTTTTGTGTCCGTTGTCGGGTACTTTAATTGTTGCCGGAACTGCCGGACACGTTGTGGTCGCTAAATTCGATACGGAAGTGTTGGATGGTGAAATTAAAGTCACGACGATGAATATTGTTAGTGATCGGGACGGGTTCGTGTGGAAGGGGCATAATCAACTGGCTCCCAAACAGGGTATGTTGTGATTTTTTTATAAAAAATGTTTTTATTACTATACGAGTACTTGTCAAAGTCGAAAAAATCAAATTTTGTGACGAAATTTAGACCATGCTACAAAAATAACCTTTATTAGAAAAAAAAACTCGCAGAAGGCGAACGTATGTCGTCTTATGTATGAGTTTTAATTATCTGTCATCTTGACAAGTGGATAAATGAATTAATCAAAAACCTGCAAAATATTTGTCAAAGTACTCTTGAGTTTGATTACTTTCAAATAGGCTTTGAATAAAATAAGTTATTCGTTTATTTCCTGTGTCGTTTATTTTAATTTTTAATCGTTTTGAAACTCAAATTTTGGTATAATTTTTGTACTTTGTTTAATTATGTAGCTTGTCATTCGACATTTTTTATTGTTAAAAAAAGAACAATTCAAATGCGTATAATTGTTATTGATTACAAAAGCTGCCTTGAAGCGATATGATTGTTAAAATAATTTAATGAAATACATATTTAAGCTATAAATAAAACAAATAATAAATATTTAATGATTTGTTGATTATAGTCAATTCTAACTTAATCAATGCCCCACCCTTAGATAGTTACCAATGAAAAGATGTAATCAAAGGGAGTGTAAATTATACTGTTACATTTACAAATTCGGCGTTTTTTACTCAATTCGAAGGAAGTGCCTCGTAATAAAACAATTAAAACATGCACCATAATTTATAGAAGCTGAATTTGTAACATGAAACCACGGAAAAAAATTGTTCAGTGTAATTTTTACTCTGATACGATTAATCTGCTAGTTACTAACTACATATTTAAAATCGCATTTATCTTTTTACACTTTATAGACTATAATTCGGTAATATTTTCATCAAGTTACTTGTTACAAATTTATTCGCTTGTTTTTAGGTTTTTTTTACTTGTTTTTTTGTTATGAATCAGTGCAACCCTTCTTTTCTTTGTACAGATTGCAAATAAATGTTTCAAAACAGAATAATCTTCCGTATCGCCGAGACCGTTACTTTACGGACTCATGTTTATTAAAATGTTCTGCTTATTTTGGTTCATTCTATTACCTCCATAAATATTTTACACTCTTTTTTAACACCCTGTAGATAGTATACAGGGTGTTCGCGGATTACAAGCAAATATTCTAACCACTAAAAAAAATCGTTATGAAAAGTCAATTTGAAGACCAATCAAACTCCGTATCAAAAAATTGTTTTTGCATTTTCCTTTCTACGATTTTCACGAGCTGTTCAGTGTGTCTGGTTTTGTGGAAGTAAAAATGTCAATGAATATAATGTGCATTGAATATTGAGCGTGAATGTTTTTATAACAAAAAAAAAGGATAACCACAATATTAATATTAAGTAATATTCAGTTGAGATAGAACTATACTAAGTATATTCTCACCTGAGGATGACTACTTATAACTATTAGTTATAATTTCACCTGAAGATGACTCAGAAATGTTTTCGGCAAAAGTTGGAAATACAAAAGTTGTTTCTCTTGACGAGTTCTATTAGTGATTTAAATTTTTGCTCGTAGTCCGCGAACACCCTGTATATAGGGTAATTCATATAAAACTGTAGTGACAACAATTAGGTTCTACCGTGTGATTTTTTTAAATTTCGGCTCTAGTTATTCATGACACTTACATCAACAGTAGAACTTATTGCATAACTTCATAACATAAAATAACCTAACTTATCTTTGAAGTTTTGGTTGTTTCCACGTATGCTTTCTACCATGTTTTTCGATTTTCGTCTGTCTTTTTTAAGACTGCACTGTCGGTTGTAAATGATTCAAATTCAAATGTGACGTTAATATTTAGGAAATCCATAATACAGGATGTCCGTTTTTCGAGCTCCATCATGGGAATCTCAGTTATTATAAGAGATACGAGGTCAGTTAAATTAAGGTAAAGTTGCGCATTTTTATGCTGAACAATTATCTGAAAGAAAATTTAATGTCATTTTTAGTTTTTGAATTATTGAAAAAAATCTTCAATTTGGAGTTTTCGTTTTTATTTTTTCAAGCGAAAACTAAAAGAACTATACGACGTTTTCAACTAGGACGTTCTTAAGGCACTTTTTTACAAGGAATCTAAATCTGCCATCGTCTTTTTGTTCCTGATTACAACGATGTATCATGATATGATCATATTGATTAAAATTAAGAAAAAGCGTTTTTGCACAGAGTGGTTTGGAAAAAACGCCAACAATTTTAATTAACAAACAAAATTTTGACAGTTCAATTGAATTTGTATCACATTTTCGTCAAGCTTACCTACTTAAAAACTATGGTTTTGAAATAGGAACAACGTGATAAACTAGAATTTATTCGTTGCAAAACAAAACAACACAAAGTTATAAAAGATGTTCTGCTTGCAATATTAATTGAACTGTGAAAATTTAGTTTGTTAAACAAAATTGTTGGCGTTTTTTCCAAAGCACTTTGCAAAAACCCTTTTTCTTAATTTTGATAAGCATGTAAAACTTGATCACATCGTGTGATACATCGTTGTAATCAGGAACCAAAAGACTTTTCAAAAATACAGAAATCGAATATGGCCTTCATAAGAAAATCCAAAGTTGATTGTTGTAGCTCTGATCAAGAGCGCCTTGGAAAATACGATGACAGATTTAGAATGCTTGTAAGAAAGTGCCTTAAGAACGTCCAAGTTAAAAACGTCTAGATCTTTTAGTTTTCGCTTGAAAAAGTAAAAACAAAAATTACGATTTTTTCCAATAATTCAAAAACTAAAAATTACACATTACATTCTTTTTCAGATAAATGTTCAGCATAAAAATGCGCAACTTTGCCCTAATTTAACCGATCTTGTATCTTTTATAATAACTGAGATTCTTATGGTAGAGCTCGAAAAAAAGTTACGCGATACTACAGTGCGATTAAAAAGTCTTTCTATCAAGTAGGCGTCCTAGTTGAGGACGTATGTTGCATGGCAGTCCGTATGTTATCTAGATGTCAAAAAATTGTTTTATAAAAATTAAAACACTAAGCTAATTAAGTTGAGTTATTCTATGAAACGTATCAAAATATCCTAAAATTAGATTTTGTTGGTGTTTATTCATAAAAATCGTTCACCACGGTTTCCTGTTATAATTTACATAAAAATTATTTTGACATTTCTCATTTGTCATTGCGACATTTTATCTTCCACAGACATATGTTTTAAATTTCTACGCTTGCTTGATAGACAGACTTTTTGATCGCACTGTATAAAAAATTACACAATACATCGTAACATTTTATTATAATTACTGTAAAGGGACTAACCGAGAACTCTTCTGCGTTATGTGATTTATTACAGACAGGTTTACTTAATGTTTGAATCAGATTTTTGGGAAAGGTATATTAATTGAATTAAATGTCAAACTTTCTTAAGGATATAAATATTTAGCCACCTAGTGAGTTTTCTACTTTCCAGTGTTTTTTTTTTCAATTATACTAATGTCGACTCTGATATTTTAGACAAACAGACTAATTAATATACATGTAAAATATCCGAACTGCCTTTGTCAGAGGCTAATCATCAATAACACTAGTATCTGTCGTAAAATTAAAACTTGACTGAATTCGCGATTTAAGTTAAGGTTTTTGCTTCTCTCTATTATATCATGATAAATAACGTGATAAATATCACGACGACATAGGTTCGTCTATTGCAAGTTTTTTTTTTTTATGAACACGTTATGATTACGTCTTTGACTTTTTATATTTGAATAAATAGTATTTTTGAAATTTGAAATGATGAACACTTTTCCAGGAGAACTACACCAAACACGCGGTTTCCAAGCGACTTCTATTCTTCAATTACATCCCCCTGCAGCTGTCACTGCTTGTGTTCTTCAAGCCGATTGGGGTTTAGTCGCCGCTGGTACAGCTCACGGTCTTGCACTTTTCGACTACGTCAAAAATAAACCTGTAATGGTGAAATGCACACTAAACCCGAACGGTATTTCATATAACTTAAAAAAAATCTTTTTTGACAATTGTTTTTTGAAGATCTCACCGGTGCCGGCGACACGCCCATTTCACGTCGCAAATCCTTCAAAAAATCCCTACGCGAATCTTTCCGTCGTTTGCGAAGAGGCCGCTCCACTCGTCGAGCAAACACCGAAACCACACCCACTGCAAACTCTCCACCCAATCGTAAAACAACAACCCAAGAGGACGGTCAGTTTAGTCCCCTCGAAGCCAAACCGGTCGAAAGACAAATCGAGGCACGCCCCGTCGACGATTCGATGAGCTCTTTCGTAAGATGTCTTTATTTCGCAAGGACATTCCTCATCAATGGTAATGACACAAATTAGCATCACGGTGCACCGTCACTATTCTCACACAATTGAATTGTAGTACAAAACACGAATCCGACTTTGTGGGCCGGCACCAACAACGGTACTGTCTATACGTTTACGATAACGGTACCGTCGGCTACGAAACGCGAAACGGACGACGTCACCTGTCATATCGCCAAGGAGATTCAATTGAAACACAGAGCACCGGTTATAGCCATTGCGGTTCTCGATGGTGCGAACAAACCTCTACCTGAGCCTCTGGAAGTGGAGAAGGGCGTGGCGCCGCTTCCAGATACCACACAACCACATCGTGTGATTATTGCGTCGGAGGAACAGTTTAAGATTTTCACCTTACCGGCAGTTAAAGCATTCTGTAAATTTAAATTGACAGCGCAAGATGGCGCAAGAGTGAGACGGATGGCTTTTGCCACGTTCAGTTGTAAAAATCCCGATACGGATGCTACACATTCCGAAATTGATCTGTTGTGTCTGACGAATATCGGGGAGTGCCTTGTTTTTAGCATTCCGGATTTGAAGAGACAGTTGAATGCCGCGGCGATTAAGAGGGAGGATATCAAGTGAGTTGTTTTATTACACAAGGCGACAAAAAATAAGTGATGTCGTTACAACTTCACAAATTTTTATATCATTTTGTTCGTCTCAGTGAGACAAATCGAATGCACTAAAAAATTTAAGAAAGTCCACACACTTTAAACTAAATATTTTTTTCTAATTTAAATGAATTTAAAATACTTTAATTTAAAAAATCATTACTCAATAACTATTAGGCCGATTTCCTTCAAATAAAGACCATTCTAAAGAATATACCGAGTAGTTTTTAAGATATGATTTTTTGAAGTTAAGGTTTGCTATTCAGGTATTGCGCCATATAGGAGAAATGCATGTTAATCTTACTTAAAATTGCATTTTTATAAAAGTATTTGTTTTAAGACTCTTCTTTTGCTTAAAAATGGTCGATTGCACCTTCTTTGTTCTAATTAGAATAAACAAAAACTGTTTGTTCACTTAAAACAAACAAAGAGCGTCTGCGTACTAATTAAAGCAAATAAAGAGTTTTTTTGTTCTAAAGATGATTACTGATGATTGAGCAAAAAGGATCTAGCAGTTTAAAGCAGTAGCTTTAAATATAAGAACAAATCATTTTCAAATTAAATCACTTCCATTCAGATTCCAACTTGTTCACTTTGTTCTAGCTTTCTGAACTTATTTTTGAAAATGTTCTCAGCAAATGCTTTCTCATCACTTTCTACTGATGTTGAATACAATAAGTCAGTTGCTTCGTGTGCAACTGTTATCACAACAACTATTATCTACAAGCTAATTGAAGCTAATCGTAGAATGTACCAACAAAATAAATCTTATTGCATTTAACATCACTCGAAAGTGATGAGAAAGCATTTGCTCAGAACATTTCCAAAAAAAATTTAGAAAGCTAGAACAAAGTGAATAAGTCAAAAATCTGAATGGAAAGTGATTTGATTTGAAAAAGATTTGTCCTTATATTTAAGACTCGTGCCTTAAAGTTCTAGATCCTCTTTGTTCAATGATCAGTGGTCATTTTTACAACAAAAAAACTTTTTATTTACTTTAATTAGTACGCAGGTACTCTTTGTTTGTTTTAAGTAAAGAAACAGTTTTTGTTTATTCTAGTTAGAACAAAGAAGGTGCAATTGCCCATTATCAAGCAAAAGAAGAGTCTTAAAACAAATACTTTTATAAAAATGCAGTTTTAAGTAAGATTAACATGCATTTCTCCTATATGGCGCAATACCTGAACAGCAAACCTTAACTTCAAAAAATCATATCTGAAAAACCACTCGGTATATTGTTTTAAAAATTTGAATTCTTACTAATAAAAAGATGCTCTACACGATGGTGACGAAGAAAAAAAAATTACTCGTGGGGTTTTTCTTAGATTACTTCGATTTACTTCGAACTTCTTCGAACACTGCTCGAAGAAAAGTTTGCAAATATTCAATTTCAAATTTTATATCATTCTAAAGGGCAAGGCCATCCCTTTAGAATGGTCTTTATTTGAAGGAAATCGTCCTAATAGTTATTGAGTAATGATTTTTTAAAGTTAATGTATTTTAAATTCATTTAAATATGAAAAAAAAATATTTTCTTCAAAATGTGTGGACTTTTTAAAAAAAAATTTAGTGCATTTGATTTGTCTCACTGAGACGAACAAAATGATATAAAATTTGTCAAGTTGTCACGACATGACTTTTTTTTGTCGCCTTGTGTTATTTAAAAATTTGACTCAACTGTTGCATTTTTCTTCTTTAGTGGAATTTCGTCATTGGTCTTTACAAAAAGCGCCGAAGCGTTATATTTGCATTCCTCGTCTGAGCTGCAAAGAATATCTTTGTCGGCTACTTGTGCGACTACTGCCAGATGTTATCTTCCACAGCCAGTGGGAGAGAAGGAAGATGCTGCGTCTGATGATGGTTCAGAAGGAGATAGACAGGAAGGACAAGACGTACCGCCGTTAGTTAACGGCAATGCCGAAGGAAGCGTTGGCGATAAGGTAGGGTGATTGAAACTGAATACGATGGGATTTTTAGTGCAATTAAGGAAGTCTGTAAAACTAACATTCTAGTAGTGTATAGGTGTTATTTTGTTTTTGTATTTTAATTATTTAATTAACCATTGAATAATATATTTATTGGTTGGTACCTTTTTTAATAAGCAGTTATAAAATAATCAGTTTTTTAAATAAATTGTGTATGAAAAGTTTATTCTTATTACCACTGAACCTTTTTACATCCGCATATTAGTTTATTACATTGCATGTTTAGTGCAAGAGCAATTAAAAAAATATATATATATACAGGTTTGATTTAGATGGTGCAATAAGAACTGCAAATATTTTGCTTGGTGACTTTAATTTTTAAATGTTTTGTACAAGTTGATGAGGTTGGTTACAAAATATTGGTGAAGGTGACACAGTAGGTATTGATGTTATTGAGTAGCAAAGGTCGATGGGTAACGATTTAACACTTTGAATATACAATGTGCATTAAAAACTACGAATCAAATATTACATGCTTCATACCGCTTACGTTTTTGCGACTTGCTTTTTTTAATGCAAAATAAACAATTATATGAACTTTTTGATGATTTTAAAGACTAGAATAACAAAGAAATTTTAGTTAAGAGGAAACTGACGTGGTTAACTTTTTTGTGGATGAAATGCCGAGTAAAAAAAAGCTTTGAATAATAGTATACATATACAAACGAGGTGGAAATTATTTTATCTCCCTGTGAGATCAGGTTATCTGACTGAGAGGCGCAGCTTTAAGGTTATATGGAGTATGAGGCTGTAATGAAATTCTTACTTATTCACACTCACATTTTCTTTAAAAACTAAGATACAGTTTAAAAAAAAAAATGATTAGTGATGTAGGTAGTTGTTATGCAAACAAATTGCGTTTTTGACATTATTGATGGGCTCGTTACATTAGTAATGCAAAGTCTAAAAGGTTAGAAATCGGCATATTACTAATAAATCGAATATTTTGTTTTTTTTTTGTGAAATCAATAAAACAAGGGTTGACGAAAAAAAATAGATGAATCTCTCGCTTTTAGTGTTCTCTTTTTTACTTTTTTTTTTTCTATAGTTTCTCACTAACACAACTTACGTATATTTGTGAAATAAATATTTAACGACCTTGAAATCGTCTTTATTATTGTCACATGCGGTGAAAAACAGGATGTCAATTGAAAAATAAATTATTTCTAATGAATCATTACATATCGTATTTAAAAGTAGGTTTGAAATTATGAATGCATTGGTTAAGTACCTTTATCTTAATTTTACCTCTTCTAACAAAAATTTCCTATTTGTACTAGCTTCTGATTGAAAACTTTACTATTGTACTAACACAACTTTAAGTACTTGAATTTACCAAATTATTAAAAGTATGTGTGTTGCACTTTTTGATTTCGATTTTAAAAACTTTTGCAATTAGGACGTCACTAAACAATGAATCATTCAAAATTTTCTAAATTTAAGAATTTCAAATTCTTATCGGGCTTTTTTTTTAAATACATTTTTCTGTGACAATTTCCTGAATAGAAAAGTGTGGTGGTAAAACCCAACGTTAATTGCCTACAATCGGTTACTTCTTTTTAAACAAAAGGTTACTAAATAATACTTACTCCTTATTTCAAAACAAAAATTTTATCTTTTTGTAAATATTGTTCTTGAATTACCTGAAAACAATTATTAATCACAAAAAACTGTTTCGCAAAGTGTTAATTTTCATACAATATGGTAATCTAGATAAGAGTGTAATAACAAATATAAAATAGAGTTATTTTTATAGGATAAATTAAGCTATACTTAGTATACATACTGGCCGCGTCAGAACTTGAGCCCCAGAGAAAAATGCCATATGAGGTAAGATACCAGGAACATGGAAAAAATGTTAAAAAAATTGTAACTCTAAAAACTTAACTTAAATTTTCCACTTTGACTCTATTTATTTCTGTTGGAAAAATAATTTTACAAGTTTTTTTGCTACAGGCTATTAGAAGAGCAAACAAGTAAGCTGTATCATAAATTGTAACTCTGTTTAATGTTATTTGTGGCTTTTATTGGCAAAATTTTTGTTCCTTTACTAAATCATTGTAAAAAATATACAAGATCAGTATCATTAAATAGACATAAAAAATGTCAAATGTCAAAATTTTTTGACAGATAGAATTTTTTAAACATTTTTTTCATGTTCCTGGTATTTTATCTTACTTGAATTTTTTTTCTGGGGCGCGAGTCTTACGCACCCTGTTTGTATTACAAAACCAACATTTTTCGAAAAAATGGCTAAATTTTAAATTGTTCACACCATCGCCGTCTCTATAGACATAATCCTTTTATCGCCTGGGCATTTTTTGAGTTCAACTGATTCCCGTTGGTGCTTTAATCTGGGGAAATTTTTTGACTCATCCAGTTTTTTAGCTTAAAGGGTTCAACCTCGTAATATCAATTCTCCCTGGCGTATCTTGTTTTGTTGTATCCTTCCTTCCCATCTTTTATTAATTGCGTTATTTTTCGTTAATAATTAAAAATCATTCATTTTTTTCTTAGTAACCCCCGTAACTAAGAAAAAATCGGAATCACTGCTCCAATGCATTTTTTACGAAATGCCCAGGCGGGATATTGATATATTTCATTAAGGAGGCGGTGGTTCACACAGATATTACATATTATGCCTACATAGCTAATCAGTTGCAGCCTGAAAAGGTTTTGTAAAAAGGCTTATGCTGAAACAAACATATAAATTAACTCATTTTACTTACGATTAAAGTTAAATTTTTTGTTCGAAACACTGAATACTTGTTCGCCGACTGCTCTAATTACATTGACTTCAAGCATGTGACAATTGCGTCAAAAACTTGTCCTACTCAGATTCAGATAAGATAACAGCATATTGCATGAGTTCAAAAGGAATAACATTCTCATAAATTAGACTCTTTTTTATATTTTTATTAAAGATAACATTGGTAATTTACTATAGTAAAGAATGGAGATTTTAAAAGGTCATTTGCTTTGAACAGCGAAATAGTTATTTGTGTTACAAGGGAGGAAAAGACACTGTAATACACAGCAAGAAAATCTTCAAAAATAACAATAATTCTTGATGTCCCAGTTTCGTCATTAAATATAGCAGCATGTTTTTCATTTCTATGGGGGAGGTAAAATTTTTACCTTTTTTATTTTAAATATACAGGGTACGCCAGAACTCGCGCCCCAGAGAAAAATGCCATATAAGGTAAGAAGATACTAGAAACATGGAAAAATTGTTAAAAAAAATTTCGAAGTTATGAGGGTTTAAGGTTTTGCAATTTGACTCTATTTATTTCTGTTGGAAAAATATTTTTTTAAGGTTTTTTGCTATAGGCTATTAAAAGAGGAAACAAGGAAGCTGCATCCTAAATTGTAACTCTGTTCAATGTTATTTGTGGCTTTTATTGGCAAAATTTTTGTCCCTTTACTAAATAATTGTAAAAAAACATATACAAGATCATCAGTATCATTAAATAGATATAAATGTTAATATAAATATATATTATAAATAAATGTCAAAATTTTTTGACAGATAGAATTTTTGAATTTTTTAAACATTTTTTTCATGTTCCTGATATCTTATCTTACTTAAAATTTTTCTCTGGGGCGCTAGTTCTGGCGCACCCTGTATATAAATAAAAATAAGAAATTTTAAATGTAATTTGGACAGATGAAGGAGGTAATAGGCCACTTTCCTTTCGGAAATTAGGATGGAAAAACTTACTTTCTGTTAAGGTCGAATGTTAAAATCGACTGTTAATTAATGAAAAATTGTCTTTTCTTAAATACGCTTTTTCTTCAAATGATTACATTTTTTTTTTCTAATTTCAGGCGGAAGAAGTGCGGGAGAACGGCGAGGAAACCCCCCACAACGTGACTGTTTCTAGCAGCGTCGGAGACATCACTCTGGACAGCGTCAAGGATTACCTCGGCTCAGGTGAGGAGCTTAACCGACGCATTTCCGGTATGTGTGTGACGAAGACTGTCACGACAGTTATAAACAATAGTCAAGATGGTGCCGTAACGTCTTCCAGTACGACCACAACCACAACAACAGCCACCAGTGCCCAAGAAAACAGTGAGTGTTTGGCTTTTGTTTTTTTGTCTTAAGCTTTCCTTGCTGAAAAATTGTACAGATGTTTATAAAGAGCTTTGTTTATTATTTGCTTTAAATGTGTTCTTTTTGTTGCTTTTGTAGTCATAGAGAGTGACACGGACGGACCTGCACCGACGTTAGAGGTTAGCCCTGTTACACAGTTTTTATTCTAACCGAGCATTGTAGGACTTTTTACATAAAATATTTCTAATATATTAACGTTTCTAATTTTTCAGTTGGCATTGGTCTATTTCTTCTAGACTAACACATGATTAATAACAAATTGTAGTTTTTGAAAGTGAATCTTAAAAATATGTTTAAATAAAAAAGTCTAGTTAAGATTGCTTTCAAAAAGTAATAATAAAGCGGTTTCGTCAAATATAATTTCACTTTTAAATCATTTTTTAAGGGTTTTTTTGTCATAATACAATGGCGGACACGGAATTTTGAACATCAAATTTATGTCAGTTCACAAAATTCCAATGAAGCCACGCTTTGTTTTCGTTAAAATTGACGTTTAAAACTAAAATTTTAAAGTTTTAGATGAAATTTCTTTTTAGCGTCGATTTTCTCTAATAATATTAATACGTGTTTTTATATAAGTTCAAAAAATTATTTGGATCTGTTGTCATTTTTTCTCTAGCTGTCAGGATAAAAATTATAAAAACCGAAAGTGAGATTAGTTTCATAAGACCCGTTTTACATTTTTACATTAGTTGAATGACAAATTGTACAAAATTGCGTGTCCGCCAGTGTAGTAATACTAAGTCAAACATTTCAGTACGAATGAGATGTTCCTAAATATTAAAATGACTAACTACTGTAAGAGGTTTACCAGATGTATATCGTAATATATTTTACCAACGACCCTAATAGAAAGTAAGTTTTTCCACCCTAATATCAAAATGGAAAGTGCACAATTACCTCTCAAGGAGGAGAAAATTTTACTTACCCTATAGAAACGGTGAAACATGCTGCTAGATTTAGTGGAGAAACTGGGATAGTTATTTTTGTTAAAAGTACTTAAAATACAGTTTTTGTGGACGAATCGTTGCTGTAAGTAATTGACATCATAGTAACCAAATTGACTTTTTCGTCCGGAAAAACTGTTTTTGGGGACTTATAACTTAGATTATAACATACTTTAAAAATTTACGAATGAAAGCCGAAAGGTTAAAAAACAAACGTTTTTAGAGACTTTGAATTTTCCAACCATATTTTTTTTTCATAAAATGAGTTTTACCTTTACAGTAGTCATCTTAAAAAAAATTGTAAAAGTTCTTTTTTCCTTTTATACCTGGTTATCAAAAAAAAGTCTTTGTCAAATATTATTTTTACTTACTATGTTTTACGCTAATTTAGTGTTTATTTAAGGTAAATTTGTAATTTAAAAATTATAATTAAAATACAGGGTGCGCTAGAATTCGCGCCCCAGAGAAAGGTAAGATACCAGGTACATGTAAAAAATGTTAAAAAAATTCTATAAAATTACGAAGTTTTTCGAAAAATAATTTTTCAAGTTTTGTTGCTACAGGCTATTAGAAGAGGAAAGAAGGAAGCTATATCCTAAATTGTAACACTGTTTAATGTTATTTATGGCTTTTATTGGCAAAATTTTTGTATCTTTACTAAATAATTATTAAAAAACATATACAAGATCATTAGTATCATTAAATAGACATAAAAAAAATGTCAAATGTCAAGAAATAGATGTCAAAATTTTTTGACAGATAGAATTTTTTAAACAATTTTTATGATAATGACAAGTTTTTAGAGGTTGTGGTAAGCTGTTTGTAATAAATTTTATTTCATATTATATCACAAGGTAGAGAAGAGATAGCCGACCAGTTTATTACCTGAGATGCGTAGCATTGAGGGAAATAATAAATGCGAGGCTGTAAAAAATTTTCTCTATTAATGTTTGTGACAAAAAATTCTATTGGGAACACTGAATTATTGATAATCCTTTTTTTTTAATAATGTTTCAGGTGACGGCTAAATTAGCAGTTGACCGTCGCAAAAGAATGACAATTGTCTATAAAAGTTTGATGTTTGAATTTGAAAGTGAAGGTTGTAAACACATACTAGATCATATACAGTCATCCGGTATTTTGTGCTTCAAAGCGGTTGGAATGCCTTTTAAGGCATTAAATTTATAAAAGTTAATAGTTTGACAACATCTCAACATGGAAACATAACCATAATTTCTTATTAAAATTTTTAGGGACAAAAACAAAAAGCTATGGCTATGGGGATAACCTGCATCCAATTTTTTTAACCAAAATTTTGACTTTGTAATTTTCATCAAGCTTGTTTGTTTGAAGTTGCTTCATACTACGATTTATAGATAGTTGTAATAAAGTGGAAAATATTACATTTGTCGAGGTATTTAAAAAAATAATTGACATCAAATTCCTGATTCCTGTGCACTGAATAGTGCATTATGCACAGAGATGGGTGCATATTGTATGCGATCTAACAATAATAAGTTGTACTTTTTCTTAATAATACTAAATAATTAAATAAAACCTTAAGTAATTTAATAAGTGGATTATATTTGACGTGACATTTTATGTTTAACCGTTTAATACATCTTTTCACTCTGAATTTTACTTTTCAGATTAAGAAAATCCAAGTTAGTGATGAAATTCTCCGCGCCCCACTGGCATTGGCCGAAGAACTGGATTCGGACGGTCAATTGAACGGAGACGCATAATTGATGAAAATAACAATTGCCATATCAACATGTCCAGTATTTCGTATGATTTTTCTACGACCGATTCGAATCCATGTGCCTGAACCGTTTGTGTTTTTAATTTTATCAAACTTTTTAAATGTGTGTTAAGTATCGTTACTTAGTTTAAGTCTTAAAAATTCCAGTACTTAGTTTTGAACGTTTGGGACCATGTTCAAAATTTGTTTTAAAATCACGGAATACTGTACTTGTTTTTTTATATATTTGTAATTGTATGTTTGTAAGCTAAGTGTTAATATCAAAGTTATTTACAATCAATAACAATAATAAACTTTGATGTTGCCGACAAATTGTAAAGTATTTAAAAGGCGTGATTTTTTATATTATTGAAACAGTATTTGTCACCGCTTTGTACACTTTTAAGTAACTTATTCAAAAAGGGGAGTTTAAAGTTAAGCCATCAAAACAAATCAGCTAAAATAATAAATTTTTGACATCGTCTAATCAGCATTTTTACACCAACGATGTCAGAAGTTTAACAAGTTTTTATACAAAATGGTGGAGGTTAAACGAATGTGTGTGTGTGAGTGCATCCTTTTTTGCTAACCAAAAAGGGATTTCTTTATGGCCTTAACATTTCGTTATAATATTTTATATTATGGTATTTTATTCACATTTTATTGAAGATTATATTTATGAATGATTCACATGACAGAAACATCACTGAGTGAATAAAGTTTTATTGGTAAAAGTGTGTTTAATTAATTATCCTTTCGATTAAGAAATCAAACAAATATTTCAGTTTTGTTTATTCAAATCAACATATTAATACAAACAAAATGGAGATTGCGACTTTTATTTACACTTAAAATTACAATATTTTTTTAAATATACAAGATCAACAATTATGGCACATTATAATAACATGTTTTTTTAGATTTGAACAGATTGTGAGGAAAAATTCAGTTGACTTCTTTATCGGTACTTAACAAAGTAATAACGCTATTTCAACATTAATAAAAAATTTACAGTTAGTACAGGATATGTCACCATTAAGTTTTTGTTATTTAATTCTTAAATCTATTAATTATTTTTTATAAAATTGTTTTAATACGTTTATTTTATTAAGTGCGTGGTGTAATCAATTTAAGCACCAAAAAGGCGGAATATTGAATAAAAAATTATCTATGAGTTAGTCTATCAATTAGACCACGCATTGCCTCTTTGATTCGCTATTTTTTATTAACATTTTTTTACAGAATGAAGCGTTTTCAGAAAAAAAAATGTCATCTACCAACCAACCAATAAAAAAAAACAAACACCTAAAATTTATCCTCGAAAATTAATAAAATGTAATGTTTGTACTTTTTCAATGGTTAAAAGAAATGTCGAAAGATAAGTACATATTTGTGTTCCCCAAATTTATGTGGACCTACATGACCACTCTTTTCAACAGTATATGTGTTTAATTTGAATTAGTTGAATAAACTAAAAAATCATCAAATTATATGAACAACAAAACAAAATTAACAGGGCGCAATAATGGTGGATGCGCCAATTACCAATTTTGGATTAAGACCAAAAATAAAATTTAGAATTAAAAATTGGGTGGTTGAGACACAAAATACTCATAATTTTTTCAAATAAAAATGTCTTATGTTGAAAATAATATAACTTTGCTGTCAAAATGGTAGATGTCCGAAATACTGCACCTCACAGTATGAAATTTCGAATACTTTTTTGTGGTCCTATGATTATAATGCTCTTGATATTTAAAAAAAAAATTAGACTTAGCAAAAACTGTAACCTTTTAAATTTCTTATACAGAACGATTTTTTTCCAAATTTCGAAATAAGCTGACAAAAAAAACAAAATTTTTCAAAATGTCAGTATATTTTGAACGTTATTCAACTTTCTAATTTTAAATTGGATCCTATATTTTGATTGATAACTTTGATCATTTTTTTAAACAATAGTTTTCAGTAAAAGTATTGCACATATCTGTATCAAGTAAACTAATACCTTCCAAATTATGAAAAAATTGGGTCCCTAATTAAAATTAGAAAGTTAGCTATAGCACAAAATATACTATAACAGTGAAATAAATTCTAAAATTGTCAGCTTATATTAATTTTTGAAATCTGGACATAAATAAAACATAAAAAAAAGAATACTGATTTCAAAATTGATTAGCTCTAAAACAGATTATTTAAAACTGACTTCTAAATGTTGTAACAGTGTATAGTTTAGATTATTTTAAAACAATTTACAGCACTTATTGTCATCACGTGGAATTCCAGTGCATGATAGACTTGAAAAATAACTTTTTTTGGTAAAAATAAAAAAAATATATATTTTTTGGCTAACCATTTTCCTGTTAACGCTTCACTCTGCGTATAAATTAACCGAACCAATAGCATTAACTTTTTATAAAATATTTTCCTCCGTCGTCACGTAATTTTTGATGATGCTTCAATGTATTTGATTTAATGTTTAGAACGTTTGAGTAAAAATTTATTTCGACTAGATCGTAAAATATCACACGAACGTCCACGAAATGAGCATTCTTTTATCCCAAAAAGTGTACAAAAACGCATATCGCCACTTTCAAACTGGCGTAGTCCTTCGAAGAGTATCACTGTCAAAAGTTTTTCTGGCGGTGCCGTTTCGCGATCCGATTGAGACACTACTTTGTGCCCTCAGAGGCAACGGCTGGTCCAAATCGAACGTGACAAACTCGTGTTGGATACTCGGTGAGTAGTCTTCATATGGTTCGCCGATGAACTCGTCGCAGTTGACGTCGGCTGTTGTTGACACTGTGTTTGTGGTGATATCTCGGGGGAAGTGCCGGCCTGCGATGGGGGGCTCTCTTCCCACAGGGCTGTAATCAGCAATAAGACCATTTTATATTCGACCACGCTTTTATCCGAACCTATCGAGCGTAGTCTGAATCTACATTTGATAATTCGAACAGTGATCAGCGTTATTCCCATCATTCCTAAAATAGCTACAAATACAGGGTGATTCAGTAAAGTTGACAATAGTATATTACAAGCGAGGGGGATATGACAGATATATGATCAAGAGCAGCAGCCTTGAGATTGGATAGACCCTAAGGGATAACTTTTCTTTTTGACAGTGAAGAAGATAACGAAATGCGGTTTCTTTTGGACGATAGACATTAATTTTTTCTATGGTCCAAAAATATTTTCGTCATTATAGGTAATTCCTATATAGGGTGGCACAACAAAGTTATATTTTTTGTTATGGAACACCCAGTATATTATGGCTTATTTGAAAGAGTTTTTAATTTTAAAAATATCCATATTAGGTTTTATAAGTCTATCATGGACCGTTTACCATTTATGGGCAATTTTGTGAAAAAAAATCCATTTTTGAAAAATCACAACGGTTTTGCTAAAAAGAAAAAGTGAATAAAAACAATTGCAACCATTTTTACTGAGTCTGGTCCTTAATTATTCTGGTAGAAATTCAATCAATCTTTTGCAACTACTGCAGAGTGTTGACATTCGCAAAAGATCAATTATCTTGATTTTTTCAAATGAAACACCCTGTATCTTATTACTTTATCGTGTAGAGCTTTCAATAAGCTTTCTAAAAAACCCAAAGTTTGGAAGTCTAAAACTTACCCGTTTTATTGTACACATTTTTAAACCTACAAAATTTTAAATTATTTTATTTAGCGTTAAAAATCAAGTAGGTTTGTGTTACTCCCTCTTCTAAAAAAATTGAATAATTTTTTAAAGTTACATTATCACCATACATCAATTAAGAAAACAGGTTGTTTATTGAAATACTGAGTAAAACTCAAGAAACGCTAATTGGAATTTGAATTCAATGCAAGACCTTAAATGTAAAAATTAAAATATAATTAATTCTATAGCAAAAAATCCTGCCATTCCTCGTCAGACAGACGTCTAGTCTACGCATAAAAAAAAATTTGATTGCCCTCAGCATTTCAACAGAGATGTCATTAAAGGCTTCAATTATTCTTTCCTTCATGTTATTTCGAGTGGTGGGTCTTGTTCGAAACACCTTCTCTTCAACACACCCCGAAAAAAAGAAATCAATTGTAGTAAAATCTGGAGATCGCGGTGGCCAGACAATAGTTCTCCCCTCTCAATATTTCGATTAGGAAATCTGCTGCTAAAATTGAACAGGAGCTCTATATAGTTACATAATTCTACATTCTCTAACAAACTTGATTGATCTATGGTGATAACGTAACTTTAAAACTTTTTTTGAAGAGGAAGTAACGCAAACCTACTTGATTTTTAAGGCTAAATAGAATAAGTTAAAATTGGTATGTTGCAAGGGTGTACAATAAAACAGGTAAAGTTTAGACCTCCAAACCCTAGGTTTTTTAGAAAGCTCATTAAAAGCTCTACACGATAAAGTAATAACATACAGGGTGTTCCATTTGAAAAAATCAAGATAATTGATATTTTGCGAATGTCAACACTGCAGTAGTTGCAAAAGATTGATTGAATTTCTACCAGAATAATTAAGGACCAAACTCAGTAAAAATGGTTGCAATTGTTTTTATTCACTTTTTCTTTCTAGCAAAGCCGTTGTGATTTTCCAAAAATGGTACCTTTTTTTCAAAAAATTGCCCATAAATGATAAACGGTCCATGATAGACCCATAAAACCTAATATGGATATTCTTAGAATTAAAAACTCTTTCAAATAAGCGTATAATATACCGGGTGTTCCATATGAAAAAATATAACTTTGTTGCCCCACCCTATATATAAATTACCCATAATGACGAAAATATTTTTGGACCATAGAAAAAATGAATGTCTATCGTCCTAAAGAAACCGCATTTCGTTATCTTCTTTACTGGCAGAGTAATCGAAGAAATACGGAGCTCTGGGACAGCCTGTATATTATTTAAAATTACATTTCGTTTAAATAATACTCTTAAAATAATTGTTTTTCTGTCAAAGATGATGCATTGACGTACTTGCTATGCAAACAGATTGGGTTTTCCACATAAAAGGTTAGGAATTGGCATATTATTATTATAGTGACTGTGAACACTGACAAATATGTTATATAGGGTTATTCATAAATATGAAGCAATATTTGAATGAAGCCCTCAGATTGTGGGTATGGAAATTTGTTTTTTTGTAATAACTTCGGAACCATTTGACCAAATATTATAAAATTTGGAATGGTTACTTGCTAGAACATACCTTTTAATACATACATCTACTCAATTTCCGGTTCCAGCAATTGCAGGTTATATTTTCTGTGTTTTTTCGTTTGTTTGGCCCCTCAAAATTATTTTTTTTTGGTCAAAACAACAGAGTAATCAATTTTGAATAAAAAACGCATAACCCTTAATACCACTAAAATGTCCCGTTTTAAAGATATTTTTATTTAAAGTGAGAACTACACAGTACTGAAAGCAAAAAGTATGAATTTTGAATGAGTGATATCCACGGCAATAAATGACCATGGTCTCACTAATCGCTGTCAGGCATCTGTTAACTTGAGGTTGGACGATTATTAGACGATTAATCGAAAATATTTAATAATTAATTTAATAAATAATTCAAATGGATCTCGTAGCATTTAATTCATAAAAAAATTCACAAAAATTTATCGTCAAAGTTAACAGATGCCTGGCAGGGATTTATGTGACTATGGTCATTGGTTCCCGTGGATACCACTTATTCAAAATTCATATTTTTCATTTTCAGCGCTGTGCAGTCCTCACTTTAAATTAAAATATTTTTAAAACGGTCCATTTTAGTGGTATAAAAAGCGTTTTTTATTCGAAAATGATTACTCTTTAGATTTAAACAATTAAAAATTAGTGTTAAGAGGCCAAAAAAACGGAAAAACACAGAAAATGTGACCTGCAACTGCTGAAACCGGAAATTGAGTAGATGTATCCGGTTTTCGTAATTACTAGTATGTTCTCGCAAGTAACTATTCCAAAGTTTATAATATTTGGTCAAATGGTTTCAAACTTATTACAAAAAAAAAATAATTTCCAGACCCACATTCCGAGGGTTGTAAAATTTTTATCAATAGAGATCGGACACCAGTTATTATTTAAATCATTTTATAGGTCATTTTTGAGGTTCAAATATTGCTTCATATTTATGAATAACCTTATATGTTTTCAAAATATTTTGCTACTTTGTGCATCACTTTTCAATACTTAAACAGAAACAGATTACAAGCGGAAGTGACTATGGCGTCACCTCAGCTAAATCATATTTTTTATAAGAAATATTTTTAAGCATTCTCAGTTTTTTTTGCCAAAATGAACAGTATGTAATAAGTTTTTGAAAATTTGACCGACTTGAAGAAAATTTGAGAATGTTTGCTGCTTTTAAAATACCTAAATTAAAACTTTGTCATCAGAAATTGCTCATTGTAAAGGTGTAGTGCTCTCCTACTTTTTTATTGGATTAAGAATATACTTGAATCATATTGGTTAACACATTATCATCCATGATTAACACCAAAAATTATAAAAAAACTAAGAAAAAATTAGAATTAATAATATTTGTCAACATTATTTGATATTGTTGGTTTTCACTGCTTTCTTTAATAAATATTTTAATTGATCCATATCTCAATAACGATTGGTTTTAGGCATATGATACTAAAACTTTTTGAAAAACAATTAAGCAAAGAATCCAGAAATAATAAAATATACAGTATGTTCCATTTAAAAAACTGAAATTCACGTCACTTCCGTTGAAACACGAAGCAGGATTTACTGAACATGTATCCCAAAAAATACATGACATTAATTTATAATCCAGTCTGTATAATAGTGAAAATTTTTCAATATTTTTTTCTTTTAATTTTTATTTGGAAATTTCTTTATTATCAGGGAAGTTCATTATAATTCATTAGTTAAAATTCAAAAAGTGCCATCATAATTGAATTAATCTTTACATCAGGAATATTTCTACAGTATTGTTTTAATCTCACTTAAATTCAATTCGGCACAATTTCAGTTCAATAACTGAAATCAAACACAAAGATTCATAAGTGATAGTCCATATATAAAAAAAGGCAAAAATGTTACAACAATTTTTCTAAAGTCGCGGTCAATTCATAGTGGCCACTTCCCTCTGTAAATTTGTAAAAATTGAGTTGTATAAATCCGACTTTAAACATCCAATTGTTTTTTAGGGACATATCTATCAAAAATGACAATTCTGAAAAAGTCGGGTTAGAACACTTCACATATAAAATCTACTGCGCCTGTCACAATTGGTGACACAATTTAGTTATTTCTGCTGCCAACATAGACATAACCCACACACTACAGGTGGCGGGCTAGGGGCTGCCAACTTTGCAATAAATTAAATGGCCACTATGAATTGACTGCGACTTTAGTAGGTTATACTCTGACCTTGATTTCAACAGAATTTAATTAATTAAATTCAAATGAATTAAAGTTTAAGTCCAGAATTATTCGAATAACAAGTTTTCAAATAACTCTCAAATTTTCCAATAATTTCAAGAGTTTTACCCAACATTTTCTCACCCAAAATAACGCATATTTTGTTTTTATTACAACTTTGAGTTAAAAAAACCAACTTATCTGGTTCACCCTGTACCTTAATATTTTTGACTAAAAGTTTGACTTAGTTTATCTAGATTTGATTATTTCTCAAAAAAATGAATAATATCGGTAAATAAAAATGTAAAAATGTTTTTTTCAAGAACATAATATAACTCTGTATGGTACAATAGGTTCAAGTGTACTCGTAGTAGGTATAGGCACTATAGGCTACTAACAGTGATTTAATAAGTTTCACTTTAGAAACAGTGTGTAAAATGTCTTAGAAAACCACCAAAAACATTTTTCAGTTAATTTATCATTTTTTTATAACTTTTCACAACACTATGTTATTAATAGTAATAGTATTAAGTTATTTACGCCAAAAAAGTGTAAGCTTGAGCAATAGATCAAACAAAAAATGAATAAAATTAGTAAGAAAGAAATTAGTCACAACAACATATTTAACACAATTCTAGCTTTTGCTTTGTTATAGCATATGATGTTTTAGACTTTTAGAGGTTTTCTTCTATGGCCCAGAGAACGGGTTGCAAAAAAGTTCGAATTACAGAGGTTCTACTATAGTTGGAACAAACTATATTACCTGCCAAAGTGTTCATCAAACTGATAACTTATCGTTGGCGGCGGTGGGAAATCGTAAAAATTCGAGACATCCTTGAGCGAATTCGAATGCGACCTCGGCCTATGCACACTGCAAGGCGACTCCTGTAACGGCTCTTTACTGAAAAAATACCGCTTTTGATGAGCAAACGGCGTGGGATAACTGGCCGGAAAGTGGATTGCGCTGTTGGAGTTGATGTAGGCTTGAGGATGCCGACGACACGGATAGAACATAGAAGTGTCGTAATGACTGAAGGTGGTGTGTCGGCTTTTGCCGCGTTTTATGTCTTCGAGGTGTTTGCGTTGCCATTCGTATTGGACTTTGTAGATGAAGAGGAAAATTGAGCTGATGCCGGCGAGTTGTGTGGTCACTAAACCGCTGACATACAGGAGAAAGGAGTAACCGTACCAATAGTAGAAGGCTGGAGGTTGCAGTTGTGAACGGGGGCGCAGTTTACTGCCGATTTCTGCCTTGAAGATGGAGATGTACATGATGAGGCCGAAAAGCATTACTAGGCCTAAGGAAAAATTTATTACTATAATCCATTCAGGATTTTTTGGAAATTGTTTGGGTACGGAAATTGGGTAGTTTCCGCCAGCATAATTTTAAATTTTTGATCCAAACCAAAATAAAAAAATATTAAACTTAAATTTTAAATTTATTTATTTTGTACTCAATGTTTAAGAGTGCTTTTATCAACTAATTTCAGTAGATAAAATAGTCTTTTATCGTCTAGTGAAATAAAGTAATAATTTGTCTACTGTTTATATTCAAGAAATTCTGGTAGGTGAGTACAAAATAAAACGAAATATTATACACAACGATAAAGATTGTTTTTCTATTCCCACATCTAAAACACGGATTATCGTATATGTTTCCATGACGCTAAGTGACCTTTTATACACATCTTGACAATCCGTGACTTATATGCGTATTAGTCACGTATCTAATAGCAACTGTCATATTAGTCACGGGCTGAAGTTAGCTTTCTGTAATTCTAATAATTTTTCGAGTGTGAATCTGGCTGCACGAAACGAAAATATTGGGGGAAACGCGTTGTGGCGAAAGCAGAAAATTTTTGGTCGACTGTAATTTAAATTTTGGCAGCAAGAAAAATATTACTTATTGCTAACTTCACGAGGTGCTTTCTGTCAGTTGTCATTTAGTTGTCATTTCGACGGGGCTGCGGCTTGTGAAAAATGAATGAAAATGAGAGTGAAGATGATGTTCGCTAAGGCATACGTATTTAAAAAGTAAACTATAATACCAAATTAAATTAAAATGAAGTACAAAAATTAATTTTTTTATTTTTATTTTTAATTTAACTATTTTTTTTTGTGGTGATCGTAGAAAAAGTATAGTAACACGTGTATAAACTTCTCTAGACATTCGTTTTATTAAACACTCGCTCCGCTGCCCTTCGCTCGTGCCTAATAAAACTCATGTCTAATGTAGCATTTATAACACTAGTAACATAATATACTATTATCTACTCGTGAAAAAAGTCCACTCGTGACTTCGTCACTCGTAAATTTAACGTTTTCACTCGTAGATAAACAATTTCTTTATCGTCTTGTATAATAAATAACTCTTATTAAGTATTATTTTTAATTAGCATTATCTAAAGGTAAATAATAAATAGTCTTTAAGGTTTGTTTCATCCAGTTTAAATCAATTGATTTTCAGATGTATTCAAAAATAAGGCTACTATTTTTAAAACAAAATTTGTTTTCCAGTTCAAAAAGTCTAGCGGACAATAGGACTTTGTTTTGAAATACGTATATCGGCCTTACTTTTAAAGGGAGTACATCGGAAAATTAATTCTGTATTTATGCGTAAGTTGTGTATGTACAGAAATATTCTAATTATCTGCAAAATTAAATAAAACCTAATTTTAGTTTAATTAATTTTTGTTCTTTTGTTGTGAAATATTTCAAATGAATGTTTTTATTTCTTTATGTAAATATGATCATCACTGAACACATCTTCAACATGGATAATTGCCAAGGATTATTCATATTGGTACTAATAAAATCCATATTTTGGACGTAAAAAAAATTATTCCTCCCATTGGTGACATTCAGAAAACTAACTTGCATGTGTAAACATTTAAAAAAGAAAATACGTTTAACGTTAACAATCTTGTTTGGAGGAAGAATTCCCCGAGAGATTTTAGTCTATTTACATAACACCCTGTACAGATGTTTCTAAAAATTACTTAGACCATAGTATAGAAACTAAATTATTCCAAACCATCATTAAATAGCAAATGTTGCAGTTCATTGAACATATCTCACTATGCTATACAGGTTGATTTTAAAGTATGTGCCAATATTTTAACAGGTGATAGTAGAGCTCAAAAGAAGTGAAAAAAACTTAACTTGCTTTATCCGAATGTTTATAGTTTTTGAGATATACAGGATGTTCGGAAATTGCGTGTTGCGTGCACAAACTTCTAGGGGAAATTTCATACCTCAAATTATAAAGAAAAATTCTTATGAATATGGGTTCAAAAACGCTTTCTAAGAAAGTTGCGGCCCTGTAAAGGTGGGCCTTCAAATGTGCATTTAAAAAAAATATTTTTGTTTATATTTTAATTAGAAAAACAAAACCACAAAAAACGCCAAATTTGTTTTTTAGTCATCACATTTACAATATCACATTGTTTTAATTCCCTCAGTGAGTCGAAAAAAAAAGTATTTCGAAAACGTAGTTCTACAACATTTTATAAATTTTATTTTATTATGGTATTAAATTTGCAAAAAATTTTAAGAGAAAAAACTATTGAGCGATTTTGTCGCAGCCCTCCTATTTTGTGCGTCCTTGACTAAGATTGAAAAATTTTATTTATGCCAATCGATTCAGCATCCTAAAAAACCGTGGTTTTGTTTTTCACCTTTACAGAGTCGTAACTTTTTAAGAAAGCTTTTTTGGGCCTATGTTGACAGGAACTTTTCTTCATATTTTGGTTTGTGCACGCAATTTCCAGGCACCCTGTAGAGGGTTTTGTTCGTCAAATAAATTTTAATTTGAGGCGCAGTTTTTAACTTTACCAAATCAAATTATAAACAAGTATGATCTGTGAGGTTAGCTCTTCAAATTGTATTTATTACATTGTTTTAAATCAAAATTAGCAAAAACAAACAGAGAAAAAATGTCCTCATAAAAAATATAAAACGGTAAAAATTTTGCAATGAAAGCACCGAATTTCATTATCTCAAATGTTACCGACAACTAGCAATGGGATAACTTTGGGATAAAGTACTCAAAAGTTTCAAATTTTGTTTGTAACTGTTGCTTTTTTTTAACAATTTTTCAGTTTCCAAAGTGGACCTTCTATACCTCCGAAACTATAAGCATTTGGATAAGGCAAGTTTAGATATTTTGACTTGAGTTCTACTGTCACCTGTTAAAATATTTGCACAAACTTTAAAATCACTCAGTATTTTTTGTGTTTTAAAACTGGATATTTTTTTATATTACTTGATTTTTGTTTTTAAGAGAATTGCCTTTAAATACAGGGTGTGTCAGAACTTGCGCCCTAGAGAATGATATAGGAACATGGAAATAGGAAGATATCAGGAACATGGAAAAAATGTTTAAAAAATTCTATCTATCAAAAAATTTTGACATTTATTTTTTTAAATTTGACATTTTTATGTCTATTTAATGATACCGATAATTTTGTATATGTTTTTTTACAATTATTTAGTAAAGGTACAAAAATGTTGTCAATAAAAGCCACAAATAACATTGAACAGTTACAATTTAGGATACAGCTTCCTTGGTTCCTCTTCTAATAGCCTGTAGCAAAAAAACTTGGAAAATTATTTTTTTTAATATTTTTTTTTATGTTCCTGGTATCTTACCCATTATTCTCTGGGGCGCGAGTTCTGGTGCAGCTTGTATATCAAAAAAATTATGATTGCTTATGAATCTCATCATCATTAAGACTAAACTCTTGCTGGAGCAAAAAATGTTTCTATTCTTGCCTGCCTGTTTTCAAAAAGCGCTACTTTATAGCAATTTCTTGTTTTAGCCCTTTTACATTTTCTAGTGACATATTAATGAATATAATGAATATTTAATTTTCTCAGCTTATGACTTGAAAAATACAAATTGAAACATTTGGAAAAAGCAAATCACAGCCATCCCTCATCAAATCTATCTGTTATCCTGAAAATTTTATTTTTTCAAGTCAACTGATGATTATTTGATCACACGGCGTTGCAATAGTTTTCAGAATCACCAGCGCTACAATTTTATTTTTATTTTTTTTTAATCTTGATTTACATTTTGAATAGCTCATGCTTGATGAATAAATAACATTTCACCAAAAATGTATCCGTTGACATGCAAACAAAATGCATATTCATGCATTTTTAATGGACTTCTGTCCACTATTATTAGATAGAATATTAGAGCTGAGTCGACAATTTCACGGCTTGAGAAGATTTACATTGTAAATAGATAATAAAAACATAAAATTTATGTCGACATTCCGGGCTATTACCATTATAAACTTTTTGATATACGACTTCATATTTAAGCAGTGTCGACTTTTTTCCAAAAAAGACGAACGTTGTTGGCTTGTTTCAGTGGTGCAAACTACCCGCCGTAATATGCATAACATTTTTCGTTTATGAGAAACGTACACAGGCTGTGCTAAAAAGTCAAAAGATAAGATCTTTTTCGTAAAATGAGTTTTTTTAATTTGATTGAAAAACTAACTTAATTTTTTTGTTATTATACCTGCATCATAATCCTAAATTAAAACACGCTGCAGCGTGCGTAATTTGGCCTTTATGGCACGCTGAAATTTTAAAGTTGTTTAGGTAACAAGAAATAGTGAAATGTCTGGACCAATTACAACGTGAAAAAATGTGCTTAACAACGTAAACTAGTAACCGTCTCTACGAAAACGATTCACAAACAACATTTGATAATTTTATTGTGTAAATTCACATTTTTTCAATGCTCATAAAAGATTGTAAATGGGTAGGTATAATAAAAAATAGCGTATAATACTAGTTTATAAGCAAGCCTTTAAAACACTTACGACGTTAAAAGCACTCCGCTGACGCGTTGTGCTCTTAAACCCGTCGTGCGTGTTTTAAAGGCTTGCTTATAAACTAGTATTATAATATACTATTTTGGTAAGCATTACAAACGATTTTGCAATTCTATGACAGTTATAGTGCTTTTTGAGTTTTTTAACACATACTGTGCAAAGTTACTTACCCGTCACTATGAAAATAACTCCGGATATGAATGTGTAGAGGGAGCGGTGGCGGACGCATTGTCCCAATATGCAGCAGCAATAACCGCTGCACAGCAGCAGACTCGCCGCCAAGAAAAAGATCACAGACCTCGTTACCGTGTCTATGAATAGAAAATTTAACAAAGTCAGTGCTGCATGGATGTAAGAAATTACCTCTAACATGAAAATATTGTCAGTCTTAGGAAACAATGCTTTCTTAAATTTAATAATCCAGGAAAGTGGTCTCATTTTTATGTAACTAAATAAATAAGTAAATGTTTTTTTACTATAAATTCAATTTTAAAATGTTTGTGTCCCAGAAGTTTTCATTGCCACCACTAAAAGCTTTTTTTGTGCGTTTTAAGAACGACTATGCATTGCTCTTGGGTTTGAAAAGAAAGCTTATTTTGATACGCAACATTTTAGTAGCAGAGGTTGGTAACTTGGTCAGTACTTTAATAAGTAAAACAAGCAACAGGAATCTCAAAAATGTAATAATTTTTTAACGGTGATGTTTTCGGCCACTTTTTGTAGCTTCGACAATTTTTTGAACATTTCTCGCTCGTCGTGCCCTAAACCCTTTTTTCCCTACAATAAATTGTCTTATAAAACTTGAATAATAGAATAATACTGAGTGTTTACGGTTTTGGAGTTGAAAATTGACCTGGTAATAAAAGAGTGCAGAAATAGTGCAATGGAGAAAAAAACTCAGAATTGTTATTATTAAGAATATTATTTATTTATTAATTAATTTATTAATTTGACATTATCATGATTTGATTTGATTTTGCTTTAGTTTTAATTAAAAGTCGAAGATCTTTTGTTTAATCACTTCTAAAAAAATAGTTACAACAGGTTTCGTTTAGTTTTTTCTTAATTTATAGACATGGATCGCAAATATTAAAATAATAATAAATTGGTTGTCATGATTATGATTTACGGTGAAATGCAGTTTATTAAAAGTTAAAAAACTTGCAATGGAACCCTGTTAAGTGCTTACAATTAATAACTAAAAAGATATTTAAAATTAAACGAAATTAATTATTGTTTCAGTACACACAGTATTGTTTCAAAAGTACACAGTTGTACAAGAGATGGAAGAAATATCACTTAATAATCACGTTTATGTGACACGGAATCCATCGTTTTTTATTTTACAATAAAAGAATTAGAATTTTAATATTTTTGTCGTCTTTTACAATCTCTGAATAAATCAAGAGATCTGTGATGGTTGTCATAGTATTAACAATGCTCATACATTAATTAACTTCAACTAATTTTTATCTTTTCAAGTGCACTACACTAAAAAACTATTATACTCTTGACCTTTGTATTTTCTTCTTTTTTGTAGCTGTCTTAGTTTTTTGTTTTAAATTTTTAGAAACACTATGTTTTCGTCAAAAAAACAACTTATTTCTAAGCAAAATCGACCAATAAAAGCTTAAAAACATTGTAATAGAAAGCTACTTCCAAAAATGCCAAGTAACTTATGGTTTTTATTAAAAAAACATAAATTTGTATTATAACTTATAGGGCACTCTGTATAATTGAAAATAATTTCAGAAGATGCACTAAATTTAAATAGACACTAATTAGTATCTATCAATTTCCTGTATAATTTAAAAAAATAACATTTAAAAGGTCAATAATGGACTTTACCAACAGGTTGGGACACTCTGTATATCTTAAAATCAGTTTTTTAATCTAGAATCTTTATATATACCCATAATGTTTTTAAAACGTAAGTAACTCTAAAAATTGACGAGAAATTCAGTTATTTATCTATAAATTTGGCGTGATGTAAAGCAGTTTAAACACTATCATATTTTTACAATTTTTCAAGCTGTTACTAGTTATCATAAACTGTAGATATTTAACATCGTTGTCATCAATCCATATTAGAGACGCATGAAATATGCTACTACTTACATCGTCAATCAAAAATGTTTTTTTCCACTAGCAATAAATGCTAAGTCAGTAGCAGTTAATTTATCTATCAAGTTACATTCTAGATGCTTAGCACATATTTACTCATATTTTACACACTGTAACACAAAACCTATGTATTTTTTTTAGGTTGAAGATTGAGGAATTCAATAAGAATTTTGTTTGCTAAATGATAAAAACTTTAGAGAAAAAATTAAAATACTAAGCGTTAAGTAAAAATACTGAACGCTAGGTAAAAATACTAAACCAATGGTAAGGATAATAAAGCTTTATTATAAAAAAAAATGTTAGTAAACAAAAAGTATATTTCCAAAAAAAATGTTGTCATTGATGGGGAATGGTGAAAACGGGCATAAAGAATCCTTTAACCTAGAAAATGATGTGTTTTTATTGCAGTGCCAGTAACAATATAAGCAAATCATTTAGAATATTTTACTTAACAAATCAATATTATTTACTTAGCACTTTATTACCAGCCAACACTTTATAAATTGTGATCTCTTTCAGTTTTGTTACTTGATTTTGATTCCATTTCACTAATTTAGTTTCAAGTCAGTGCAAAATACTGTAATTTGAACAGTTCAGTATTATTATTATTCAGGATTATAATCGTTGTTCTTAAACTAAAACTATTAAAATCAATTTAAAAAAATCAATTTTTTATTCTTTTAGCGGTTGAAGATGGATGGAAAAATGTATTTTGCGTTTATTCAAAGTTATAAATTTGCAGCAGCTAAATATAAATGTTTGAATAGTTGAAAACGCTAGCACTCCGCATGTAGTTTTCCCTAATTGGTCGCTTCACGGGAATATTTAAAGTAAATTGTAGTTTATATCCCAGCTCTGATGATATGACATGGCCAATAGTTAAATTTTCATTTAAATTGAAATTTGAATACCAATTTAATCTCACTTCAAATATGTCATATCTGTTTTGGCGTTATCTGATATGGAATTATGACATTGTCAGATTTACAAACGTCGGTATAATGTGAAGAAGGTCTTGGTAAAACTGAACACAACCTTTCAGATCAAATTACGTCGAAATAATAACCATGATTTTTGATTGAATGACATTTAATTTTTCGTCGTAAAAAGGTACTCACAAGGTATAGCCATGGTGGAATCGTTAGGATCGGGACTGTATTCCTCCTTGGAGAAGTAGTCGATTTTGTTGCAGGCGTACAAAGTTTCGCCGGCTGAAAAAAAAAGAAAGAATAAAGTTATACAAAATCACAGGAGGCGCTTAACCTGACAATTATTAGAAAAGTTTTCAATTAAAAACGACGGAAAAACAAGAAAGTAATAGTCAATTCTTTGAAGTATTATAAAGTTGTGCTAAAATGCTGGAAACTTAAAAACTTCGTTAATTAAGTAAGAAGAGGACATTAACGTCGAAATGAGGGGCGGATGAAACAAAATGTTAGGAGAAGCTCAAAGAAACGACTAAAATGGCGCTCTTAATGACACCCAAATATCAATAAAGGTGTCCTGTAAATCCAAGTTTATCTTTCAATATCTAAAAAACAGATATTGACATTATTGTAGTTATTATTGCTGGAACGATTAAACTTTTGTTTAAATTGGGAATGAATGGTATTGGGAATATTCATGGTATAACGATGACCATGGTCACACAAATCGCTGTCAGGCATCTGTCATTCTTGAGATTCAAATATTACTTCATATTTGTCAATAACTCTGAAGAGGGTGTTTTAGAACTCGCATTTCAGAGAAAAATTTCAAGTAAGATAGGATACCCGGAACAGAGAGAAAATGTTTAAAAAATGTTGTCAAAAAATTTTGACATTTGTTTGTTGACATTTGACATTTTTTTATGTTTATTATTTAATGTTACTGATGACTGATGAGTAATGATCTTGTATATGTTTTTTCATAACACAGGCCGACAAAAAAAATCATGTCCTGACAACTTGACAAATTTTATATCATTTTGTTCGTCTCAGTGAGACAAATCAAATGCACTAAAAAAAATTTCAAAAGGCCACACACTTTGAAGTAATTAATTTTTTTCTTAATTTAAATGAATTTAAAATACTTTAACTTTAAAAAATCAGTACTCAATAACTATTAGGCCTATTTTCTTCAAACAAAGACCATTCTAAAGGGATGGACTTTCCCTTTAAAATGATATGCAATTTGAAATTGAATATTGGCAAACTTTTCTTCGAACAGTGTTAGAAGAAGTTCGAAGTAAATCGAAGTAATCTAAGAAAAACCATCGTGTAGAGCATCTTTTTATTACTAAGAATCCAAATTTTTAAAATAATATACCGTGTAGTTTTTAAGATATGATTTTTTGAAGTTAAAGTTTGCTGTTCAGGTATTGCGCCATATAGGAGAAATGCATGTTAATCTTACTTAAAATTGCATTTTTATAAAAGTATTTGTTTTAAGACTCTTCTTTTTCTTAAAAATGGTCAATTGCACCTTCTTTGTTCTAATTAGAATAAACAAAAACTGTTTGTTTACTTAAAACAAACAAAGAGCGTCTGCGTACTAATTAAAGCAAATAAAGAGTTTTTTTGTTCTAAAGATGATTACTGATGATTGAGCAAAAAGGATCTAGCAGTTTAAAGCAGTAGCTTTAAATATAAGAACAAATCTTTTTCAAATTAAATCACTTCCATTCGGATTCCAACTTGTTCACTTTGTTCTAGCTTTCTGAACTTTTTTTTAAAAATGTTCTCAGCAAATGCTTTCTCATCACTTTCTACTGATGTTGAATGCAATAAGTCAGTTGCTTCGTGTGCAACTGTTATCACAACAACTACTACCTACAAGCTAACTGAAGCTAATCGTAGAATGTACCAACAAAATAAATCAGGTGACTTATTGCATTTAACATCACTTGAAAGTGATGACTAAGCATTTGCTCAAAACATTTTCAAAAAAAGTTCAGATAGCTAGAACAAAGTGAACAGGTTGGAATCTGAATGAAAAGTTATTTTATTTGAAAAAGATTTGCCCTTATATTTAAGGCTCGTGCCTTCGTGGTCATTTTTACAACAAAAAAACTCTTTATTTGCTTTAATTAGTACGCAGGTACTCTTTATTTGTTTTAAGTAAACAAACAGTTTTTGTTTATTGTAATTAGAATAAAGAAGGTGCAATTGACCATTTTTAAGCAAAAGAAGAGTCTTAAAACAAATACTTTTATAAAAATGCGATTTTAAGTAAGATTATCATGCATTTCTCCTATATGGAGCAATCCTTGATTAGCAAACCTTAACTTCAAAAAATCAGATCTTGAAAACTACTCGGTATATTCTTTAGAGTGGTCTTTATTTGAAGGAAATCGGCCTAATAGTTATTGAGTAATGATTTTTTAAAGCTAAAGTATTTTAAATTTATTTAAATTAGAAAAAAATTATTTTGTTCAAAGTATGTGGACTTTTTAAATTTTTTTTAGTGCATTTGATTTGTCTTACTGAGACGAACAAAATGATATAAAATTTGTCAAGTTGTCACGACATGACTTTTTTGTCGCCTTGTGTAATTAGGTATATTAAAATTGCCAATAAAAGCTACAAATGACGTTAAACATAGTATAGAGCTTCCTTGTTTCCTCTTCTCATAGCCTGTAGAAAAAAAATTAGAAAATTATTCTTCCAACAGAAATAAATAGTCAAAGTGCAAAGTTTAAACTCCCATATTTTCGAAATTTTTACAGACAGAATTTTTTTAACATTTTTTCCATGTTCCGGGGTCTCATCTTACATGTCATTTTTCTCTGGGGCGTGATTTTTGACACAGCCTGTATAAACAAATTTAGAAATACTCTTTCGGGAATAACGTTGTATAATTATTAATAATCAAATGTTTAAAAAACTGATACAGTTGCAATTTTTTACAAGAGGTTATAAATGTTGGTTTGTCAGAAATGGTGGATGCGCCGGACGAGGTTCGAATCCGCCTTGGGGCCTGTAATATTTCTTCGGTTGGTAGCGTCAGGTAAATGTTGGCATCAGCTGATGAGTAATGAGTTGGGTTGGTTGTGTCTGTGACAAATGCAACTTTATAACAGTCATACTGTATTTTATCATCTCGGCGAAATGCGTCCGTCCCTTCATCATCATCTTTTCGCAACAAATGGCTGTGCGATTTTTTCTTATTTTTGTCGAGGTTTCCCGAAATTCGACAAATCGCCGTTGCAATTAATCTCCCGACTTCTGCGAGTTTTTGCGGGTTTGTAAACAGAACTCGGTGTATCGGATCCGCGGTAATCACGTTAGCGGCAAACAATTCCATCCGCACTGCTGTTAATTCACTTAGGAGAAGCTTTGAATGCCGCAGGGCGGACGTGACGTCACATCGGTCACAATGGGGGCTTTTATGTCTGCTTTACTACGGGGATGATGCGGTCGAAGGGCGGGGCGAAAAAACGAATCGACCAGAAGTTGCTTAGGATAACCAATACTGTTTAACTACTTAACTATACAAGCTGTTTCAATTAAAACGAGCCACCCCGAATATCTCAGAAACTAAAAAGACTTTGCCGAAACAGGTCGATTTTATTTCCGAGGGGAACATTTTTTGACGTAATTTTTAAAGCACCCTCAGTAACCCCTTAACCCCCACACACACCAACTTTAAAAATTTTAATGGCATTACCTTACTTGTGGCACATCAAATGAAAGCTATTTTAGCAAGGTTTTCAAAACTTTTTAGCAAAATTGAATCAGACCATCCATTCATGAGATACAGGTGTGCGTTACAAATTTTTTTAGATAGGGGCAACCTTATCACAGTTTAAAAATACATATTTTATTACAAACGCAAAAACATGTTATACAAAATAAGAACGTAAAACCATATTTTTTCTAACGGAAATTATAAATGAAACCATAAGACACAAATCTCTAAAACCATAAACGAGTATAAAAGTGTCAAAGTTAAAAAAAATATAAAAAATAAAAAAATATAGAAATTATAAAAGTTAAGCATAAAATAGCACAAAACAGTAAATAACATGAACTAATAAATACTAAGAAAAATGTAACACTTGGAAATCAAAACATAAAATAAAAACTCTTTCAAAAGAACAACAATCAATAGATATAAAAATTTAAGAAATAAAAGTTTTACGTTTCGTTTTTCTAAACCAAAATCGTCTATGATAAAAAAGTTAAAAAATGTTACAAAAAAATGTTAGCTATTTATGCAACAAGTTGCAAAATGAGCGTGTTTTTTACTAGACGTGTGGAAAAAAACAGCCACTTTAAACCGTGTTTTATACAAAAATTTTTCCAATTTGGTTGTGAAAAACATAGGCATCAAATTCGAATTTAAAATCTGTGATTTCAGTAATTTTCCAAAATCATACTAGGTCGTGGCGTTGCTATGAAAATAGTGTTATTTGTTTTCTTTTTATAAGTAGTGATAAAATAATGTCATATTTTATAACTAGTGATAAAATTAAACACATTTGACAACTGAAATGACATATTACAATGGTTGCATTTCACAACAAAATTGGGAAAAAATAGTTTACAGCTAACGGAATAAAACTTATTCAAAAAAATGTCTTAGGCTAACTTCTAGGGGGAAGAAACGACGCCCATGAATACAGGCTGTTCTAATAGAAACAAACCATCTTAGAAAAATTTGCAAAAAAAAACCTGAAACGGGTTAATTTTGTTTTTACAAGGTACATTTTTTGACGCAATTTTAAAAGCACCTTCACTAACCGTTTAACCTCTATGCCACTTAATTCTAAAATGTTAAATAGCACCAACCACTAGTGATACAAAAAATGTAAACACTTTTAAAATGCTCTTTAAAAGCTTTGTTCCAAAATGAATTGATTTTTATACATTCATAACATATCGGCAAAAAACTAATCTTTCAGCAGTCAGAATGTACAAAAGAACTTAAGAACAATATTGCAATTTTTTAGACACTTACATTACATTATAAAAAACGTTATTACCCCCAGTCCTTTGGTCCGATTAATTTGACAATAAAATAGAGAAATAAAAATAAATTTGTTACAGCTTCAATAATACTTATAACAATATTAGTATGTTCTTGCAATTTACTTTTAATAATTTTTATTAGAAGTAATTACTAATTAGAAACATTATTTTTTGCGAATATCTTATGAATAGATAATCCCATTCAACTTTAGAAAAGAGGTTCAAAGAACATTTTAAAAACACTTCTATTTGATCTGTCGCAAGTGAGTCGGTGTCATTTGAAATTTCGAAATTGAGGTGGGAAAAGTTAAAGGGGGTGCTTTTAAAATTGTGTCAAAAAATGTCTTTTTTAAAAATTAACCTATTTCGTTTTCTTTTGCAAATTCTTTCTGGATCGTATTTATTAGAACACCCTGTATCTCATGAATGGATGGTTTGATTGAATTTTGGTACAAAGTTTAGAAAAGCTTGTTAAAATAGCTTTCATTTGATGTGCTACAAGTAGGGTAGTGCCATTTAAATTTTTAAAGTTGAGGTGCGTGGGGGTTAAGGGGTTACTGAGGTTGCTTTAAAAATTACGTCAAAAAATATCCCCCTCAGAAACAAAATCGACCTGTTTTGGCGTTTTTGCAAAGTCTTTTTAGTTTCTGAGATATTCGAGGTGGCTCGTTTTCATTGGAACACCCTGTATACTACTATACAAGGTGATAAGATAATGGGCCCGACGTTCTGGCGATGCAACTCAAAAAACAAAGTTCATTTACTTTTTGATCTAATTTTAATTACGATTTGCATTTGATATCCAAGTTATTTTATGTTGCTCAGACAGTGCTTTAACAAGCTTCGACATCACCCTGTATACTACGTACAGGGTGATACATATAATACTACGAACTCAACTAACTTTAAAGGCAGTCCAAAATACTAGATTTAATTCTATTAAAATATATTATTTTTGACCATCCCTCGAGGAATGACAACTGTCAGATTGACAGTTAAATTTCTCAAAGTTTATGTATGACGTTTTTTCCAAAGATGTGATGATTTGTCGGGCTCGTAGTTTTATATGAATCATGTTGTTATTTAAGGTTTCGTTTGACTTAATACACTGGCGGACACGGAATTTGAGACGATTTATCATTCAACTCACATAAAAATATAAAACGGTTCTTAGACAATTAACCTCACTTTCAGTTTTTGTAATTTTTATCCTGATAGCTACAGAAAAAATGACAACAAATCAAAATAATTATATTGAACTTATATAAAAATACGTATTGCTGACACTATTGTTTCGGAAAATCGACACTATAAATAAGTTTGAACTAAAACTTTCAAATTTTAGTTTCAAACGTCAATCATAATGACAGCAAAGCGTGGCTTACATTAATAATTTTTGAACTGACATAAATTTGATGTCCAAAATTCCGTGTCCGCCACTGTAGGACACAGTGAAATGTTAGTGAAATATTTTTGTATTTTGTTTTACACAAAGTAAGTTCTTACGACAATCTCATAACTGAATAGCATCTTACTGGATCGGTTATTTTGAAAAAGAAACAAAATTAACAAATTTATCTACTGACCCCATGCATTTTGTGCATAAATTAAAATGAAAACAAATTTTGTTTACAAATAGATTCTACAGCAATCCATACATACTACTATAATTTAAAAGTGAGTTAATACAATATTCTGTAACAAGGTTAGAATTCAATATGAGTGTTAGCAACCGTGAGGAACCACGAGTAGATAGAATTTTCATTCTAACCTAGTAACAGACTGTATTTTCTCCAAGACCAGAAAGTATGACTCAAAAATAATTAAATCTGAACAAAACAAGTTATTTGACATTGATATTTGACACTGACAGTTTTAATGTCTATAGCAATGTATGTAGTTTCGTTGAACATAATTATAGAATATTCATTGTCATTTGTTATAAAATGAAAATACATGCAAAACACATAAGAGGCAAGTGTGTCAGAATAAATATTTTATCTCAAGAGTGAGAATTTTTACTTTCTATTATTCGCTAATTGTCGTGGAGAAGTAATAATTTATTCTTTAGTTCTTAGTTTTTCATCAAGTCTGCTATGAAAAAATTAAATTTTGAACACGTCGATAAAATTGCATTATATTCTTTTGGAATTAATTCACTCGGGACTTCGACCCTCGTGAATTAACAATTTTTGTTCGGTCGATAAAAATTGTGTTGGATGAAAAGAATTGAAAACATTGGTGAAAAGGTTACTAAACAGGGTGTTTATACGGTCTTGGAGTTAAAAATTGATTTAGTAATAGAAGAGTACAGAAATACTGTAACCGAGAAAAAAATCTTACAGAATTGTTATTATTAATAATGTTATTTAACTCCAAAATATTGGTACAAAGTTTGAGGGTCACTACACCTTTTCCAATCGTAGTTCAGAATGTAACAGATTAATTTCAGAAAATTAAAATTATACATAGATATTTTATCAGCTTTGGCAATGCAAAATATGTAAGTAGGGCGTTGACTATGCAGTTTTACATTCTGTTTATTATGCTCAATTTTTTCCTTGTTTTTTTTTTTTAATTTATGTGTGTACTTAGTTTGATGATATACATAATTTTTGCTTGATTTCGTCGAAGATGATATACAGGACAAAGGATGAATAAAACCATTAAATTCGTCGCGACGTTTCGATACCTTTATTAAGAACTGAGAGTTCTTTCTTGACTGTGTCATGCCTCCCACGTTCAGCCAACGAAAATTCTTCGCCTGAGGAAGATACAATAAACGTATCGAAACGTAGCTACGAATTTAATGATTTTATTCATCCTTTATCCTGTACACCACCTTCGACGAAATCGAGCAAATATATTTCAAAGACAATAAGCAATACAAAATGGAGAATATACTGGTATTATTACCAGTATGTACTCTGTAAGTACATATCTAAATACATAATTAATTTTCAAATAAAGTGAATTACAAATGGGCATTCTGATTTTCAAATGACTCTTTCTGAAATACAATTGACTAAGCTGAACTACAATTAATACATTCGGAAATATGTACAATTGATTAACGAAAATACATTTGATGCTTTCTGAAATAGAGTTGACTAATCTTTAATACAACTGATGCTTTCTGAAATACAGTCACTTCGCCTTGGAAATTTTGAAAAAGCTAGTTTTCTGTAACGTACCTTTTAGTTACAATTTAGAAAACAGCTTCTTTATTTCCCCTTCTAATAGCCTGCAGCAAAAAAACATAGAAAATTATTTTTCCAATAGAAATACTTAAATAGGGTCAAAGTGCAAAATGTACACCCCCATAATTTCGAAATTTTTATAGATAGAATTCTTTTAACATTTTTTTTGTTTTTTTTTCTGGGACGCGAGTTCTGACACACCCTGTATACATGGTCAGTCACAGGATAGTTACTTCTGAAATAATTTCGGCAGCAACCCATTATACAATTCACATAGGCGTCTAGCTTCCTCATTTTTAAAAATTATAAAATTGAATCCAAGAATACTTTTGACATTTAAAAGGTACTATTACACAAATAACGAAAAAGTGGATAAGCTCTGTACTAGGAGAGGTATCCAAATCGAATGCCATTTAGAAAACTGGAAGCCAAGTTACGACAAGATTGACCCCTAATGAAAGACCCCGTCAGAGGACTGCTACTGGCCCAGAAAATGAAATTAGAGTTCTTAAAGCAGTATAGAATTACTTGTCATTTTGACGACTTCACTCATTTTCATCCTGCACATTGATTACTGAATTAATTTAAATAAAGTCAGTTACAAAGGTATTTTTGGTTGTAAACTAATTCATTTTCAAAGTAACTCTCCTGTGACTGACCCTGTACATATTATTATTTTAAATTTATCATGTGTGTTGGTTTTTAATTTTAGATATTCAAAACAGAATAAAGGCTTATTATTCAATGGAAGGTACTCTATTCTCTGCTTACTATCTACAAAGCCTTTGACTCCCTTGATTATGGTCTCGTTTATATTATGGCAGTTTATTGTGTCCGTGCTTGTGACACTTTATCTGTAGAATTACATTAAAGTTTTTTAATATAATCAGACTGATAAGCAAAAAAAAATCGTTTTTACTTTTAATGCCAACATCGTTAATTTAGAAGAAATTAACTAGGACACTTCGTTAATGAAATTCAGTATTTTGCATCTGTCCGTTAAATGTCGTCTTTGAAAATTTAGGAGCACCCACAGTAAATTCATTATCAAAAATACCCTTTTCCATCGACTTAATTTATAGCACCGAAGCAAAAGCAAGTAATGAATCATAAGGATTTTGCAAACCAAAATAAAATTTATCGTGGTAATTAAAACCTAGATAAGTATAATACGTCTTTTGGAATAAATTCATAAATTTCAACCTCCTGCAACGCAAAAATCGAATTTCCATTGCTGAATTCTCATATGTTATCCCGATAATGACAGTTATCGATACTTGACCGCTTGTTTGATTCGCACCGAATTCTCTCCCGTTTAACACATCTGTGTTTTCTCCTGAAAGTGGATACAAAACAACTTATCGGAGGTTATCTGAAAATAAGTGCTTGGGACGAAACAAAACGGTTTTTTCAACGAGAGGGTTTCAGTAATGTTTCACGTGGAGAATTAAGAAAGTTGAAGCTAAACGCCGTTTTGCAAACAGGTTTTGCATTTAAATGTGTTTCAGGATAACAGATACTAGAAAGTGCGTGGAACCGAGGAATGCCGTGAATTTTAAGCAGTTCTACTTCTACTAAATTACCTCTTGAAACAAATGGAACTGGACGACGGTGATTGTGGCTCTAATTGATAACGAAATGACGAGCGCTTCTTGGAGGGAAATCGTCAAAAATGGCGGCGAACGCGATATTGGCCTCGCTGGCGTTGTTCACAGACGAATTGGGCAATTTAAGGCAGAGAAAAAGTCCCGTAACAACCGAAATCTTTGAACATAAACAATTTCGGGTGGGATCGCTGCGAGGCTAATTTTTGGTAATGGGAACGTTGTGGGTTATCCATTATTCGGCAGTTTTCTCTAGATGGCAATTGGTGGAATTTTATTTTTCTGCGTGTGTTCACATTTAGATGAAACTTATAAAATTAGTTTTTTTCTGAATTTCAATGAGATACATATCTTCTGCCTTAATTATTGTAAAATAGTAATTCCATCTACTCTCCGTGTTAAAAAAAATAGCTTCAAATTGTAAATATTAATGTTTTTACAAATCTAAATTTTTCTAGCACAAATCGGAACAAAAATATACATATGTGAGTGAATCAGTTGCTCTAAACTAAACTAAGCAGCCAAAACTTTTTAAATAAAACAAGAGGTGTATTTGTGGATTGTAAATTTTTTATTTATTGCTTTCATTTAAGATAAAGTAGAGCAGGATTCAATAATAAAAATGTCTATCGTCCATTTTTGAAGAAAGAAGTAGGTGACAGCAGTATCGGACAACCAATTTCACAGTAGCAAATTTTATTAATTTAAATGGCAAGGTATGTTTAATATCTCCTCGTAGCATCTAAGTAAAATCGGTTGTCTATGTATTCGGAAATTTTTAACAATTATTTTTTCTGAAATCGCAAATTTGGACAAAATTTATGCAAAACTATTTTTGAAGGCTAGGTTATTCTAATTATTACTCTAATAGGCCCAGTGTTGTCAGATTTTTCTTTTCAATAAAATCGCAAAATAACTAAAGTCTGTCTATATTTGCTTCAATTTTATGATGTAATAGATGCAATTAACTTTTTGGGCTTTTAGCGATAAAGAAACCCCAACCCCTCAATTGTAAAAGTTTGTTTTCTTTGAGGTTGCTTTAACGGCCAGCTAGTTGGTCGCTTTGGTAACAATAGCTTTACAACCACCCTCATTCAATCCCTCATAAACTAGTTTGGCAAGTCAAAACCATAAAATTCAAGCAAATATAGACAGACTTTATATCTCATGTCATAACTATCGCCACTTCTATCACTTATCACTTTTCACAATGTTTTTTTCTGTGTGAAACAGTGGAACTTTCGGACTCAAAATTTGTCAGTAAAGTTGAATTGTAACACATATTATTTTTATACAGAAATCAAATGTTTTTGATCCATTTTAACGTAAAATATACGGTTACGATGTTGAAAGCCTGTGTGGCGAAATGTAGCCACCATACAAAACCACAAAATAGCAAAAAAAAGTTTTGTAGAATTTAAAACCATAAACAGATACACAATAACAATAGGATTGTCTTTACCTCATGTTTACATTAAAACAATAATTTGACAACACTGTTAATAATGTTCACTAACTAACAATACACAAAATTATAGTATAATGAAATATTTTAGGTCCGATTTCAGACACTTTGCAATTTTTTTGTAACTTTAGTCACGATTTCGAAAATAGCTATTAACATATCTAACAGCCGCAGATGTCAGTTAAACTCCGGCTTTTAAGATATCTAAGATTGCTATGACATTGATTGCATCCGCGGTATGTTCATGATTTTATCGGCTTCTGTCAATTGAACCGACAGTTGAAAACAATTGAATTCAAAATTTGTTTCAAAAAAGATCGAGTTTGCATAACCTGTTCTTCTGTCATGGTTACATTTTACAATGCACCACAAATGTTCATTTTGACAGTGTTAATGAACATCAGTTGTAGTAAATTTTATAATAAATAACGTTACATTCATTTATTGGTTTTCACATTTATAGCTTTTCAATTCCTTGACAAATGTTGACAATTGACATTTCGGTAAGGTAATATTTTACCTTAACGATTTTACATACAGGATTCAATTATGTTTTAGTTACTAGTCAATTTTCATAAATGTAAACAGAGGTTTAATGACAGAAACCGATAAAAATAATTTAATAATTGTTTGTTTACCCTCTTATTTGTGAATGTGTCATTTAATACTGATATAGAGCGTGCGCCAGAACTCGCGCCCCAGAGAAAAATGAGGTAAGATCCCAGGAACAAGGAAAAAATGTCAAAAAAATTTTATCTATAAAAATTTCGAAGTTATGAGGGTTTAAATTTTGCACTTTGACTCTATTTATTTTTGTTGGAAAAATAATTTTCCAAGTTTTTTTGCTATAGGCTATTAAAAGAGTAAACAAGGAAGCTGTATCCTAAACTGTAACTCTGTTCAATGTTATTAGTGGCTTTTATTAGCAAAATTTTTGTACCTACCTTTACTAAATAATTGTAAAAAAACATATATAAGATGATCAGTATCATTAAATATACATAAAAATGTCAAATGTCAAAAAATAATAGGTCAAAATATTTTGACAGAATTTTTTAAACATTTTTTCCGTGTTCCTGGTATCTTACCTTACTTGAAAATTTTCTCTGGGTCGCGAGTTCTGACGCACCTTGTATACGTAGTTCTATTTAGGTAAGTAGGTAGTTCTATTTATATTCTTATGAAACTTAGACCAAAAGACCCTTTCTAAAACGTCACACTTTAGAAAGATCTACTAACTAACATAAGACATAAGATTTACTGATCCTCGTTTTACCTACAGGATGATTCAAAAGTCTTAGACTATCTCTTGGGTGATAATAAAGGACATCCAACTAGTAAAAATTCCTATTACAAATAATTATTTGTACAACTAGTTTTAAAAGTCATAGTTTTTTTCACGAATTTGCAGTTGATTAACGAGGGCTCTGTCCGAGTTAATCAAGCAAATGACTGAAAAAAAAGACTTTCAAAACGAGTTGTACACAACATTTTTTTGCATAGTGATAATCCCAAGAACCGCAAAGACCAAAAAGATATCATTTTGATAAATCAAATCATAATGTATCGCGAGCTCTTTGTAACGAACTCTATAGAAACTATAGAAATAGCTATTGAAATCGTTTAAAAAAGTATAAACTTTTTATACGATTAATCGTGATGAAAATTTAACTTTGCATGAGCTTCAAATGTTAAATTTTAGCTTAAGTTTTTGGTTGTTGAAATCATGTATTCTTGAATTTAGTTATCGGAAACGGCAGATCTAGCAACATTGAACACATACATGTTGAAAAAAATCACGAATTTGTGTCTGATGGTGTACAAAACATTCAACAAATTAGCAAATTTAACAACAAATTAAATCCGACAACATCGAAAACAAAAGAGGTGCCTACATGTAAATATGGAAATTGACAGTTCTAATTTTTCTTAGAGGCTTAAAATAAATCTGAATTCATTTTTATGCTTAGCTGGAAGTCTTCTATCACTATTCGAGAGTTGATCCAATATTTTTGAATCACCTTGTATGTTCAATTAAGTTTTAGTTAGACAGTTGTTTAAAGTTATCCGTTGTTGTTTGTCTAAATGCTACTACAAGCAGTTTTAGACCTTCCAATCTCTCGAACACAATCCACTTAAACTCTTCAATCTGTTTCACCACCTGCGGAAAGTCAAATAGTCGAACCAGTCTACTCTATCGATAAGACTGACATAAATGTTCTTCAGGTCGAGTGAATTTTTTGAGTTGAAACATCTAGATGGACCACCATTATCATCATCGAGACGATCCGTAATCGACTTTATTGATGGTTATTTATCGAGATTGTTGAGAAAATCACGGAAAGTTCGCAGGATCAGACCTCCGGGACATAACAACTCACTCGAAAAGATAAATAACTTAACACGGCACGAGGGCTAACTTTAACGTTCTCGAATAGAATAAAACAATTTGTCAGGGGCTAGGGAAGCGAGTTGCGGTTTTTA